TCCTCTATTCTGTACCACTGGTCCACCCGCCTGTTTTGGTACCAGTACCATGCTGTTTTTGTTACTATTGCTCTGTAGTGTAGTTTGAAATCTGGTATTGCTATACCACCTGATTCACACTTCCTGCTTAGAATTGCTTTTGCTATTCTGGGTCTTTTATTTTTCCATATGAATTTCATGATTGCTTTATCCATTTCTACAAGCAATGCCATTGGGATTTTGATTGGCATTGCATTAAACCTATAGAGGACTTTTGGTAATATCGCTTAGAATAGAGTGAAGAGCTGGCCTTTGAGCTCTTTCATCCCCATAGTCTGCACAGCCATCAGCCTTTAATACACATAAACTTACATTTCCCTTTAGTAGGAAGAAAGGGACTACAACTGTGTAGTCCCTTTCACATAAGCAGAGGATAGAGGAAATTCTCCATCCAAAACAACCAGTTAGCAAAACAAAAGTGGGTAGACGGCATATAACTTCATCTCTACTGTTAACAGTCATTCCATAATTTTATGGTTATTGCTATTCACTGATTAGGACTTTGTCCCCAAAGAGAAAAAGAAAAAGATCAAGTAGCTAAGAAGGTGAATCCAGAGTAGGGAGCGACCTTTTCTTCCCTTGTATCCCTCACCCTGAACTTTTAATTGCTCTATCAAATTTATTTATTTGTTTTTTGAGAACTATTTTCATATTTAATTTTTTGTTTTTTTAAGGTCTATCAGATCATCAAAACTCRCAGAAAACACAGTTATTGTTGGTGTAGTACGCAGGTAAATTTTTGTTGTTTTATTACTTTTTTTTAATGTTGAAACCCAGGTATCAGTGTAATGCTTCCTCTTTTCAGATAGTCAAGTTAGGGTCTCCATGCTGTAACTGGAAAACCCCTTTGAAATTTAACTTTTTATTTATTCTTTTGTATTTATTTTACTTCTCCAGTTAACTTTATGGAGCAAGTTCTGTTCTCAAGCTAGTCATTCTGATTTTGCTTCAACAGTAGGCAAACCCTTGAGAGAATTCCATTCCTAAAAGTGTGGAGGTTTCTGGGGTATTTTCCTAGGTCCTCTACCTCCAGACCTCCCTGGGGATTTGAATTATACATAAATGGGAGCCTTATGAGGTGGCATGTGCAACTTGGGAGGCTAAGGCAGGAGGATTGCAAGTTCAAGGCCAGCCTTGAGAACTTAGTGTGACCCTGTCTCAAAATAAAAAATAAAAAGTACTAGGGACATAGCTCAGAGGTAAAGTACTCCTGGGTTCAATCCCCAGTGGTTAAAAAAAAAAAGAATTCTATATAAATGGGGAGAATCTTAATAAATTGGAATAAGGAAAGAAGGTAAGTATATAAAGAGGAAAAATATTCAGATAGTCATTTATAATGTATATTTTTATAGATAGAAGAAATATTTCTGTATCTTTTAATCTTTTTCTCTGAGCTATAGGAGGGAGGGTATATTTTAAAAAACTGGAAGTAAAAGAAAATCTAAAAGAATTCAATTTTGTTAAAAATTTTAGTATAATAAGAAGATTTTTGGTCACTCCTATTTCGTTATATTTCAAGTATTATATTAGCTGGGCACAGTGGTGCATTTCTTGTAGTCCCAGCTAAACCTGGAGGATCACTTGAATCAGGAATTTTCAAAACCAGCCTGGGAAACATAGAAAGTGGGGAAATAGTAGCATATATACTGCCAAAAAGGTAACTATGAGATTGAAACAGAAAATCATTTTCAACTTTACATTAGTGTATTAACCTAATTCATCTAAAAGTACTTGTTAAATGACAGTGAAAGTATGTAAATTAGTGAATAGTAAAAGAAGAGAGATGTAATTGATAAAAACTTTTGTCTAACACTTTATGATATTCTTCTGAAGGGTGGACAGAGAAGAGTTGTCTGTAATGCCCTTAATTTCTGCTGGCTTTACAAGGGTATGTATCCACTTTTATACACATATAGTTTATTGTGGAGAAATTACTTTATTTCTACTTTTAGTGCCCAGCAAAACTGTGGAGAATCCTCAATAAAGAAGAATTCAGTAAATATGCTATATGTGTAATACATTTTAAAGTTAAAGTGACTCAGATGAGTCATGAGCACTTTAAATGAAATATCTATAGTCATTTATTGGTACAATTTATTTGGGGGTTTATTGGATTCTCCATTTTTTTTTCTTTTTCTCGTTCATCTTGAAAAAATATCTCTTTGAAAATAAGTTTTGCCAAATTGACCACCGTTGTCTCTGGTTAATGTAATTCATTAACAAGTTCTAATCACTTTATCAATTTCAGTTGGTTCATTTTACTTAAAGAATATTTTCTTGCCTATTTCAAACAAACTAATTTAAACATAAATGGTTCTTATTTTAGGGGAAAAACTATGCCTATTAAGTCATATAAACATAATTAAACTTCCTATAATGGCATATTCATTAAAAATTCTACCATAGAAGTGTTGTTATGATACTTCAATGTATACATGCAGTTTTTAAAGCTAGGTCAAAGATTCAGAAATTAGGAAACCCAACCATGACTCCCTTTTCCTCTACCCCTATCTTCAATCTGTTGGTTTCTCCTAAGTCAAAAGGTTGTGGAGGATTTTGATCAACTGATTACAAATGAGGCCTTGGGAATTATGATGGAGACTTAAGTGCTGCTGACCCTCAGGCTGATTTTTGGCCCTAGTTTGTATCAGTCAGATAGTTCAGAAATCTCAAGCCATGACTTTATTTTTTAAATTTTTTTATTTTTTTCAAGGCATGACTTTAAAGTGGTCTAAAATGGATGGTGCTCCTGGGAACTGACAGAATTAAATATAGATCCTCCCCAGAAGAGGATACCTTCATCTGTGGGAGGTTGCAAAATTAATTTTTGAGAAATAACTTAAATTTAGAAGGCAAGACAAAATTATTCAGCATGTAGCACAGAGATGCAACAGGTAGTAAGTCAGAGAGGTTAAGAAATATGGAGGATAGAATGTGAGCATTCAGTGTGTATAAAACTAAGTTCCAGGGGAAGAAAAGGAAGAATGGGGAGTAGGATAAATTTGAAGAGTAAATGGCTGAGAATTTCCCAGCACATGATGAAAAACCAGTCCACAGATTTAAAAATTTCAACAAATCCAAACTTGAAGTGAATTTAAAGAAGAGGTCATGTCATAGTGAAACTGTAACAAACAAACAACAACAACAAAACCCAGCAAAAAACCAATGAGAAAAATAGATTTTTAAAATCAACCAGAGAAAAAAGATGACCTTTAGAAGAACAAGAGACTAACAGCTAATTTCTCAGCAGCAAGTGGAAAGCAGAATTTAGTGGAATAATATTGTCAATATGATAAAAGAAATTAACTACCAATCTAGAATTTTATAACCACCATAAATATCTTTTTAAAATGAAGGTGAAAGAAAGATATTCAGAGACATGGAAACTGAGAGAGTTTGTAATTAGCAAATTTTCATAAGGAAATTCTAAAGGATGTGCTTCATCCAGAAAGAAAGTGAATCTCAGGTGGAAGGTCTGCAATGCAAGAAATAAAGAGCAAAGAAAATGGTGAATATGGGGATAAATATAAACACACATTTAATGCATAAAATAGTAATCATATGCAATTAGAGGTTATAGAGAGAAAAGGAAAATTATTGAGTAAAGAATTCTAACAGTGCAAGAAATGAAGTAACAATACTAGAACAGAAACACCAAGATGAGGGAAAATGAAGAGGACAAGAGGTAGTAGAGAGCAATAATCCCTGCCATGTGCCTGCTTCCCCTCTCTGACTTTCCCTCCCTCTCTCCTTCTCTCTCTCTCTCTCTCTCTCTCTCTCTCTCTCTCTCTCTCTCTACACACACACACACACACACACACACATCTGTTTAATTTATGTCTGTCTATGTATAAAATAGTCCCCAAAGAATAAATGTAGTCTGGAATATATAATACTCTTTGATAGAAGAAACATACCCAAAGAGAAAATTTAATAATAGCCTAATATGCAAACCTTAGACTGCGATAGCCAACCCCAGGTGTTTGCAAGTTTGTGGGCAGGTGAGAATAAATATATTCTTATGGCCTTATCTAGGAGTTATGGAATGAGGATGGGCCATGGGAATATTCTGAATTTTTCATCTTTGTGGGAAATATGTGGACTAGAGTATCATTCTGTGGGAGATACTTTGCTTTGGGAGTAGTTGATACCAGGTTTCCAAATAATAGTCAACAAATCTGTCTGCATTTGAGGTCAGTGAAAATGAAGGTAATCATTAATAGAACAGAAAAGCTTAATAAATCTTTTAAATTAACCAAAGGAAATATGAAATTTATAGCAACTTGATCAAACCGGCAAACACAAGGAGGAAAAAACCCAACAATGTACAGTGGGTTTTAAACATAAAGTGAGATAGAAACTGTGGACTGGCGTTTCCCTTTAAAGATGGGCTATTAGATTGGGTTAAAAAAGAACAATTATACAACACATAAAGTGATAAAAGGAACTTAATAATAAAAGATCAACAAGGTAGCAAGTAAAAGTAGACCCAAAGAACACAGAAATATCAATATCATATCAGATAACACAGAATATTATATGTGTATACACAATTTTATGTAAAATGATACATTAAATTATCATTGCATAGTTTTGTGGCTGTTTTGTCCCCCCCCCCTTTTTTTTGACAACGTGCAACCTGATGTAGCACTGCCCCATCCTCTAACCTCCATTAATCCTTATTAAATTGTGTGAGAACAACCTAGTCCACCAGCATAAAGGTGACTCCTTTAAACAAGGAGTCCCAGGTTGGGAGTTGTTGACTACCTATTTCCTGTGGATCTTCAGTTCATCCCTTAGAAATGATTTTCTTAGAAAATCATTCACACAAAGAAAAATAAAAAGCTTTCCCAGGTAAATTTGAAGATCTTTTTATATTACCCTGAGGCTGCAAACTTGGCTATTGCCAGTGCCCTTAAAATCATCCATTTTCTAATGAAACTTAAGGAGATAGATTATTCCCATTGCCTTACAATTAATGTGCTCCCCTGCAGCCTTCTGAGACCACTAAACCTTGTATTGTATGAGGTCTCTTTGAAAATATATAGATGCAGAGCTGGAAATTTCTGCGTTCAAAAGTCTGTATTTAAAATTCTGTATAGAAAGTCCATCGGCACAGCTAGGAGAATGGGAAGGAGCATCCCAGTAGAAGGTCCTGTCAACCATGGTCCTTGTATTTCTCAGTAAATTGAGTTACAATGGAGCAAGCTTGAAAATTCATGAGTAACTCACACATATACTCTCTTCCTGTCCCCTTGCCTGTGTACTACTAGCCAGGGTGTTCCCTGAAGCCTTTATCTGTACCACTTTTAGGTGAATGCACTCATGAGACCATTCCATGCAAAAGCACAAAATCTCTCTGACTAGGGAGACCAGGAGATAATGTCAGGCCCACAGTTTTATAGATGAGGAATCCAGGTGGGTGGCCATTCCTCAGAGACCATGAGTACTAACTAATCTTCTCATCCAGAATCCCTAATCTCCTTGTGACAAAAGGGTGTATAGGATGCAGAGAACAGCTAGAGAATGGGAAAGGGATTCTCCCAGGTCTCCTGCCCTAGAGGCAGTGGTGCTGAAGCTTGAACTGAAAACCAACACCACCATGAGCTTTGATGTTTGGTGTTTGGTGTTTTGTGCATTAGCCATGGCTTAGGATGGGAAAGTAAATGGAGGATGCCTTTCTGCCCTCATGTGGACTTGGTGATTGGGAATTTACTGACTAAAGTCTCTAGGGTTGGAATTTGGTGCCTCTCATTGCTGATTAGAAGTCCCTGAAGAGTGTCTCTGGTGAGTCTGGGGAGGAGATTGCATGCTATATTGTTTTTCAAATTGTGGGTTCTTTTAACATACAGCCAAGTGTTGAGAGAGACTGGGAGAGGCCTACCAAGGTGGGGCTTAGGTCCAGCAGCTGTCTGATCTGCCTTGAGAAAGTGAGGTCCAATCATATTAAGAAGCCTGCAGAATTTATAGCCCCAGATCTCTCCTGGGATGGAACTGGAGAGAGGAAATTGGCTGCTCTTTAAGTTGAGGGAATAGCAGCCCGCTTCCTGAGGGATCCCTGCACCTTCTTCACCTGCTTTGTCCTGTGGGGTCCTTGGGACAGAATTGGAACTTGGAGAAGGGCAGTAAAGATGAGTTATTTAGATACACAGGTAAAAGCAAAGGTAATAAAAAGGAAGTAGAGACAGAAGGAGCAAGATGTCAGGTTTTAAAACTTTGACTTTTGCCTTTTGGGTAAAAAAGTTTGGATATTTAATATTCGTATCCAGTGAAACATCTGGTTGCATGGGAGGTCCTTTGTTGAAGTGGATAAATGCATGTGCCCCAACTATCCCAAGGGCTCACCACCATCCCTTGTCTGCTTAAGCAGTTCAAGCCTTGTGCTCAGAGATTCCTCCTCCCTGTCCTTGCCTGGTCAGCATTGAGTGCCAGTGTGGACGGGCAGCATTCTTGGATGTTCCCATGGAGTCCTGACATGGGCAGCAGGTCCAGCACTCTCTGGAAGCTGGAAGGTGTGTCATGTCATCTCCGCTAGATCTCTTGGGTGTGGAGGACTGTTTTGGCCTACAGGCTTGGGAACCAGCATGCCTCTGGCCAGCAGTCTTTGATGTTCCTCCTGGGGGTTGCACTCGCTATTCTGTACATTCATGCAGCAGTTTATAGGTGGCAGCATTTTTTCTCATTGTGGTCACAGCAACAGTATTACTTACTTGTTTTATTACAGATGAGGAAGCATGTTTAGGAAGACTAAGTGCTTAATTGAGGATCACATAACTTTTTAAGGCATGAACTGGCTGAATATTTAAGTTGTTTGATACCCAGACAAGACCCTGATTGCTGTTGAACAGGACAACTGCCTTCATTAGGGCAATAGAGGGAACTCCTTGAGGAACCATATGCCCAGATTGATCTGGCTGGGGCTGGTGATAGTGGCTTCTGGAGCTTCACCTGCTAGGCCTCTGCTTCCTCCTTAGATATTGTTCATTTATTGTGTGGGTAAAGGTGAAGAATCCCTTATAGAAATAGGAGGTAGTAAATGTTCATAAATATTTTAACATCTGCATAAAACAACAGTTGGCCTTCACTATCCATGAGTCCCTTATCTGCATCAGCAGATTTCACCATTTGCAGATTGAAAATATATGGGGAAAATTTTTTTTTCTGTACAGAGCACATAGACTTTTCCATCACTAAATCTAAACAATACAGCATAACAACTGTCTATATAGCATTTACATTGCATTAGGGATTATAAGTATTTTAGAGATGATTTAAAGTAACAGGAGAATGGTGTAGTTATATGTAAATACTGTGCCATTTTTAAATAAGGAATTTGAGTATCTATGGATTCTGGAATCCTGGAGGACTGGGGGGGCATGTCTTGGAACTAATTCCCTGTGGATATTAAGGGATAACATGACAACACAGTGATGTCTAAGATATTCTCATGAACTACATAATTTGATGGTGGACTTGGTCCAGCTTCTCAAAATTATGTGCTTTGCCTTGGGATGTTTCCAGCATGTAGAGATTATTATACAAGCTACTGTCCACATCAGTAAGAGACACTGGGCAAATCCCTGGCTCCTGCTGTGGGGGATAGTCATCACCAGCCACTTTGGAGAGTCATGGAGGAAAGTATTGCCTAAGGAGGAGTTTCCTCTGTGAAGTGTAGCATGCTTTTTCTCACCATGAGCTTGTCTGACTAGAGGACAAAATATTGTTCCTGAATTTACTCTGAAAACCTAACATAACTATGATATTGTTAACAAATTTCCTCCTCAATGTATTCTAGCCTCTGCTTTGTCAGTGACATGCTACAACCAAAGTGCTCTTAAGGCCCTCAAAGAAAACCTTATTTTTTAAAAAGCTGATTTGATTTCTACAAATTTCATCTCTCACCTCCTTTTCACTATTAATGACTGAAAGTATTTTTTAGATTTTAGTTGCCAAATTGAGAAATTTGTTTAGAAGAATTATTTTTTATTGGCATACATAATTATTTTAAAATGCTTCTTTCTTTATCCACAAAATTCCCCTTTCTGTTTATAGAGGTATATAGAAAACCCCAGTATCATGGCCTGTTACAATGAACTGCTCCAGCTGGAATTTGGAGAGGTGCGATCACAACTGAAACTCAGGTAATTCTACCACTTCTGGAAAGCCCTCCAGGCCACGCAGGATGATGCTACAAGTGGAGATCTTTTGGTTATAACTGACCTGCTAAGACCAGGTGGGGTGATCCAGTGGTGACTGCTTATCCAGGCTTTTTGGTATCTGCTTGGATATCTAGTAAAGGGTCATGTTAGTGAATGGAGACTCACATTTAAATATGGGGCCTTAAAGTAATAGAAAATGAGGAAAGGTAGAATTCAAAACTGCACATGCTGAATTTTCTGCTTTGTGTTTGAAAAAAAATATGTATTTTACATATACCCAACCTGTTAATAATGTTATCTCTGGTAGTGACATTTTTAACTTTTCTTTAATAGACATAATTTGCTCTTGATAAACAGGTTTTTGTTTTGTTGGTTTTTTTTTTTAATAAGTGAAATGAGTTCAAGCTTAGCTCTTTGTAGAGCAAGGAAAGCAGAAAAATTAGTAAAATTATGTCAGCTTGACATAAAGTCAGCAGTTTTCTGTCATTCTAAGTTTACTACTTGGGTGTCCTACTGTTTAACTTTTCCTTTACCAGGGATCAAGGAGAATTAGATCATTCTGTTTGTTTATGCCCAAGACACAAGGATCAGAATTAGAATATTAAGATTAGTAAGAACCAGTGCAGGGCTCTACATACAGGGAAAAAAAGTACTTCATAGATCAAGTGAAGTGAATGGCTAGCAGGCAGGGCGTGAGGTAGTGGAGAAGTGCTGCTGAGCAGCAGTTGTGTAGAGGCTGGTTTGACGTACAGGAGGACCCTTTTATTTATCTTTTGGTACTGGGGATTGAACCCAGGGGTGCTATACCACTGAGTTGCATTCCCAGCCCTTTTTAATTTTTTGAGACAGGGTATCACTAAGTTGCTTAGGCCCTTACTAAATTGCTGAGGTTTGAACTTGTGATGCTCCTACCTCAGACTCCCCAGGTCTCTGGGATTACAGCGTGCACCACTGTGCCTAGTTAGAAGAGCCCCTTTAGTTGCCAGACTTTTCAAAGAAACTTGAGGTAGCCCCATGCCCTTGGACCTGTGAGCCTTCTCCCTGTTGAGCTATCCGCAGCCTAACAGGGCATGCTGCCACACATTATGCTACCACCCTCTCTTAGAAGAGAACAGAATTAATTTTGGAGCAGTAAATGACGTTGGACCTTATTTTATCCAATCAAGATGCAGAAAATGAAATCCAAGGAAATGCATTAACTCACATTTCAGATTTTTATAAGTAGCAAATGGCAAAGATAGTTCACATTTTCTGCAGTTGTCTTTTCCCATTTCTAAATCTAACTAACCTCAAACCTTTCTAAATAGCTTAGTTAACACACCTCACCAACCTATGGACATATATTGAAACCCCTGTATCTCCTTCTCCACACCTAAGGCCCATCCCTTACCACGTCCTATTGATCTTACCTCTGAGTATCTCTGGGTTTTGTCTACTTAACTTCATCTTGTCATTATGGTTTCTGTTGTTTTTTTTAACTTGGATTATTGAATCCATCAGTCTGTCTCCTTATATCTAGCCTTGGCTCCCTCTTGTTCATTCTTCAAATTCAAGTAACACATAACTCCATCTATTTCTATCCTGCAATTCTCCACTGCCTTCAAAATAAACTCCAGATTCCAAAATGCATTTCCAACGCTCTCCACAGTTGTCTAACATTTACATCACTGTTCACATCTCCCATTATGCCCTGCTCCAGGTGACAACCAAATGGAGATGTCCATTAAAAAGGGAAAGAGACAAATAGGAAGGGAAATGGAAATATGAGTTAGGGACTTGGGAAAAGTAGGAACTTGTTCTCCCAGTCACCAGAAAGCTGTAACAAGCAACTTCGTATTAATGCTAGATTAATAAACTAGAATATAATGTCTAGAAATAGACTTGAGTATATTTAAGGATTTAGTATATGATTAACATTGCAAGTCAACGTGGGAAAGGGTGGACTTTTCAGTGAATGGCACTGTGATGACTGTTTTCATATAGGACAGGTACTAGGCCAGTGTCTTAAATAAGGAGCTTTGATGAATGAATTTAAAAATTGAAACACTCCAGTAGAAAAAAATTTTAAATACGCACAAGCAGATGATAAACATGGAAAGATGTTCAGCCACACTATTAATAAAAGAAAGCAAATGAAAATTATATAACATTTAAAAAATTTACCAGATCTGCAAAAGTTAGAAAAGAATGATAAAACCATGTAGGACTTCTCACACATCTATCCCCTCTTACAATTGCTGTATCAGAGATGAGAACTAACTTCTCATTGTTTGTTTATTTATTAGTACTGGGGATTGAACCCAGGGGTGCTTAACCACTGAGCCACCTCCTCCCACTTTTTTGTGGTGCTGGGGCCTTGTACATACGAGGCAAGCACTCTGCCAACTGAGGTATATCCCCAATGCCCCCAGACCCTTTTAATATTTTATTTAGAGCAGGGTGTCTCTAAGTTACTTAGGGCCTTGCTAAATTGCTGAGACTGGCTTTGAACTAGTGATCCTCCTGCCTCAGCTTCCCAAACCACTGGCATTACAGGTGTGTACACCAGGCCCAGCTTGTTTTTTAAGTTTCTTTCTTTTCTTTCTTTTTTTTTTTTGAGAGAGAATTTTTTTTTTAAGACAAGCAGTCTTTTTTTTTTTTTTTAAAGAGAGAGAGAGAATTTTATTATTTATTTCTTTTAGTTTTCGGCGGACACAACGAGAATTTTTTTTAATATTTATTTTTCGGTGGACACAACATCTTTATTTTATTTTGTGTGGTGCTGAGGATCCAACCCCGCACCCTGCGCATGCCAGGCAAGCACGTTACCTCTTGAGCCACATCCCCAGCCCCTGTTTTTAAGTTTTTTGAGGTATAATTCACATACTGTCTCTTGATTTTTACATTTCCAAAAACTAATTTTTACTGGCTGAGCTGTTTAATTTTATTTAACAACAGAGTTTAGTGATACAGCTGGGTGGTGGCCCATGCCTATAGTCCCAGCTGCTGGGGAGGCTGAGATAGGAGGATCATGAGTTCAAAGCTAGCCCCAACAATGGCAAGGCACTAAACAACTCAGTGAGACCCTGTCTCTAAATAAAATACAAAATAGGGCTGGGGATGTGGCTCAGTGGTCAAGTGCCCCTGAGTTTAATTCCTGGTACCCGCTCCCCCCCCCMAAAAAAAAGAGAGTTTATAAAATACAGAAAAAAAAATGTAAAAGCTTTGTTTTTTTTTTTTTTTTTTTTTTTTTTTTGAGTACGAGGGTTTGAACCTAGGTTCTGCCACTAGCTACCACTGAACTACATCCCCAGCCATTTTTATTTTATTTTGAGACAGGGTCTTGCTAAGTTGCCCAAGCTGGCCTCAAATTTGGGGTCTTCCTACCTCAGCCTTCTAAGTAACTGAGATTACAGGTAGGTACCACTGTGCCTGTCTGTTGTTTATCTTAAAGTTTATAATTTATTTCTTAATATCTCGGTACTTTATGAGCAACTAGCCAGGAATAGCCCCCTCCCAATCTGAGGCAAGAGAGCCTCCTAATTTGGGAGGAGGACACAACATCTTTATTTTATTTTATGTATATAGAAAAAATATATATATAGAAAAAAATCCAGATGCAGCATACATGTCTGATCATAGGGGATTTGTTGAACTACTTATGGTATGGCTTTTTTTAGTTGTCAGTGGATCTTTATTTTGCTTATTTATATACAGTGCTGAGAATTGAACCCAGTGCCTCACACGTTAGGCAAGCACTCTGCCACTGAGCCACATCTCTAGCCGTTTATGCTATGATGCTGCAATAGAATATTCTATGGTTATTTAAAGTGATAAGCTAGGTGCAGTGGCACACACCTATAATTCCAGTGACTCAAGATGCTGGGGCAGTTTGAGGCTAGCTTCTGCAACTTAGTGTGATCTCGTTTCAAAATAAGAAGGGCTGGGGATGTAGCTCAGTGGTAGAACACTTGCCTAATTTGTGTGAGCCCTGGTTCTATCACCAGTACCCACCTACCCCCCCCCTCAAATAACTGTAATTATTGATTGAAAAGATATTGTCTGGGTATTGATTTCAGATGTTTTGATTTCTTTTGTTTATAAACAACTTTAAGATAATTTATATACCATACAGTACACCTATTTTAAGTGCATAATTTAATGGCTTTTATTGTATTCAGACAATTGTACACCTATCACCACAATTTTAGAACATTTTCATTAACCTCAACCCCATATCTACTTTGTATTTGTAGATTTGCCTATTCTGGACATTTCATATTAAATGGAATCATATAGTATGTGGGTCCTCTGTGACTGGCTTCTTTCACACTGATTTTTTTAAGGTTCATTCATGTCATGGTCTATATCAAGACTTCAGTTCTTTTTGTGCCTGTATAATATTCCATTACATGGATATACCACATTTTTATTCATTCTTCAGTTATGGACTGTTTTTACTGTTTATACTTCTTTACTATTATGAATAATACTTCCCTGAACTTCCCTGAAAATATGTGTTTACTTTTGTAAAGCATATTTTCATTTCTGTTGGTTATATATCTATGATCGTAATAGCTGAATCATATGATAGTTCCTTGTTTAGCTATTTGAATAACTTCTAGATGTTTCCCAAAATGAGACTGCACCATTTTATGTGCCCACCAGCAGTGTATGAGGATTCCTTACAGCACTTACTATTACCTGTCTTTTTGATTATTCTAGTGGAGTGATATGCTATCTTATTTGTTTTTATCTGTATTTTAAATTTTTTATCAGTAAACATTTGTTACTTGGATATTAGAAAATGCTCACAGTATAAACCAAAGTGAAGAAATCAGGGAACAAAGCTAGTTGTTCCAGATGTCCCCAATTTTGTGAAAAATAATTAAAATAATTCTATAATAGCTACAAATGTTTTATTGTCTCTTCTCTGACAGACTGTGGCATTTTTTGCTCAGTTCTCCTGACGAGGACTCTTGATACTGAGAAGAGACACTCTGTTGGGTTCGGTCCTACAGCTGTGAGAGCTGTGATCTGACCCTGGTGTGTGACTATCTAGGCCCCCTGCCCCTTCACAAGGGAAAGAAAGACACAGTGTCTGCAGTGGTGATCCGAAGTGCTGGGGCAGCACTGGGTGTCATCTTCATACTTTTAGTATTTCCCTTCCCTTTTCTTGAATGAGCACACATTAACTTCATACATCAGACAAAAACACAACTTAAATAAGCTAATATAATACTCCAAGATTGTATTTGATTTGGTAGTATTTATATTAATCAGTTATTTTGTTTCTATCCATAAAGGGCTTGTAACTCAATATTCACTGCATTAGAGAAAAGTCAAGAAGCAATTGAAATTACAAGTGAAGACCACATTATACAGGTTTGTTATTTGGGAGATTTGTCCTTTGGATTTCTTGTTTTGCTTGTTCTCATTATTAGTTTTGAACCTCTCCAACAATTTGGTTGTTTTTTTCTTTTTGGAGTTTAAGAGACCAGATTTTCCTTAAGGGATTATAGAACAAAATGAATATTTAAAATAAGCTTTCTAGATAAGAAAATATATTAATTAAAATATATTAATAATTACTTATGGTTCTAGAAAATATCTGTAGGAATACCACAGTTACATTCATTATTTCTCACTGGAAAGAGGGGATGGGGGAGGGGGGGGAGAGAGAGAGAGAGAGAGAGAGACTGACTCTGTGTGTTTTTAGTAGGGAGAGGATTTTAATTTAATTTTATTTTATTTAGAAGTACTGGGGATGGAAACAGGGACGCTCTCCATTGAGCCACATCCCCAGCCCTTTTTACTTTTTTTTTAATCTTAAGACAGGTTATCACTCAGTTGCTGAGGCTGGCTTTGAACTTGCGGTCTCCCTCACCAGCCTCCTGAGTTCCTAAAATTACAGGCATGTGCTACTGTGCCTGGCAAGGAGAGGCTTTTATTCAAGAGGATTGTTACTTGGGTGGGCAGGACTACTACAATAGGGGCAGTGCTCTGACCATAGGCCTGCAAGCCTTCCTCACTGTGCTTACACCTTTCACTGGTTTTGAAGATAGTTCATACTTACAGAAGCTTACTAGCAATAACTAAAAATGTCACAAACAAGAGACCTAGTAATTACAGAATGAAGACCCTAATAGCACAGTGGGTTATTTGTCACTTAAGATAGCATAGCTCATACTTTGGATAACAGCAAAAAGGATAGTTATGGCAAAGAAACATTCATTTAGTCGGAGAATCAGCCCCATTTTGATTTTACATCTGGGCACACCCTAGTCTCTCACTTTAATCTAATTTGTGACTCTCTTGCTAGTGCTGACTTTTGGGAGTTGGTATCCCGAGGGATGAGGTAGGCCAGTGGTTGGGGGCCCAGGCTTTAGTTCCCATCCACCTCAACTGAGCAACCTGGGACAAGACCCTTAATCTGGCTGAATCTGCCTTCTCTGTGCAGAGGATGATATAAATAATAATAGTCACTTACATTTGGGAAGGTGGTTTTGAGAACTAAATGAGTTAATGTGTATGAAGTGTTTATTGTTGTGTCCAGCAAGGAAAACATCTTGATAAACAGTATCCGTTACTGTCTTTATCATCATTATCAACACATCACAGCTTTGCTAAGTATTTTTCCTCATCTTGTAGTTGTTTTTGAAACTTAAACTATAAAGCATTTTATTTGTAAACCCTTCCTAGTTCATGGCCTGCTTTCGACACACATTATTTATTTGAATTATATGAGAGAAGCAAGATCAGGATTTCCTTCCTGTTATCCAGAGGAGAAACTAGAGATTCAGCTGTGTGAAGTAACTTGCAGAAGCCCAGCAGTGTGTGGAGGAGAGTGGAGCCTAATGCTACACGTCCCAGCCTGGTGTTTTATTCCACATAGCACCATCTTGGCAGCCCCTGAACTGTCCCAGAGCAGCTGCCTCCCATGGTCCTTGCTGACATGTACAAGCCCAGCCAGATACCACTTTTCTCAGGGCTCCAGAATTCTTCTGGGGTTGTACTTTTGTGGCTCTAGAACCACCATGGTTAGGTCCTAGCTCCTGACCTTTCTGGGGAAAATACAGGATGCCCAGATAGAAGACCTAGGTTGTCCTCTTTTCAAAATATTTTTTTAATTCACTTGATGTTTTTTTTCTTTTGTCTCTCCCCAGTATGCAAATCCTGCATTTGAAACAACAATGGGCTATCAATCAGGTGAATTAATAGGGAAGGAGTTAGCAGAAGTGCCTATAAATGAAAAAAAAGCTGAATTGCTTGATACTATAAATTCATGCATCAGGATAGGCAAGGTAAGTAGGAGTCAGTACCTTTATCACTTTTGTGTTATAAAGAGGGAAGGAGTATGCATGTTCCCTGAATACTGCATGTGCCAGGTACTCAGTCTTTCGGAAGAGTAGTCCTAGGAAGTATAGATAGTGTTGTCCCTGTTATTCCCATTTTGCAGCTGAAGATCCAAGGTCAAGAAAGTATTTGTTTTGATTGGACTATAAGCAGAATAACTTGAATTAACCCTTAAAATCATTGTTCTCGCCTTTATGATAGGTGAATAATTGATCTTTCTAATAATTGGTTTTATTTTTTTAAATATTTATTTTAGTTGTAGTTGGACACAATACCTTTATTTATTTATTTTTATGTGGTGCTGAGGATTGAACCCAGGGCCTCACATGTGCTAGGCAAGCACTCTACCACAGAACCACAACCCCAGCCCCTGATAATTGGTTTTCTCATGATAGATGTTGTCACATTTTTCTGGGTTAGGGGTGCCAGTGAAAACAGCACTTTCTCAGAGCATATCTGAGCCCAGAAGTTCTCCAGCCTCAGTCATTCATTCAGAATTTTTTAAATGCCTGCTGTATGTCAGGTACTATATTAGATCCTGGTGTAAAAAGAATAACACAATGAGAATTCTTTCTTTAGAGGGCTCATTTTCCAGAGTTGGAAATAGAAGGAATCATTACATAATAATGTGAGTGGTCACATAATAGACAGAAGAAGGGCAGAGTCTGTCTGAAAGATGTTTCTTTCCCTGACATGCCTCACTGTCACGAGGCTTTAAGGTGAGATGAGAAAAAGAGTTTACTGCTGCTCACAGTCGCTTTCAGTCTTTCTGCTGGACTTTTCTTCACTTTTAAATGTTGGGTAGGGACTATTAATCTGATTATTTGAAACATTTGCAAAATGAGTGACCTGTGGAGGTGCCAGGAGAAGTGATGCCCTCTCCCCGTTGCCATTAGCCAGTACATGCTCCACAGCACAACCTTGTAGCCTAGTATGGCAGGTGTCATGCCAAGCTTACCGCCCTTGGCCTGGGCCTCTTTCCTTTGGCTTTCCCTTGAGCCCACAAGGTTGCCTTGAACCTGAGAACAAGGAAGGGCCAATGGGGCATTGTCAGGATAGTGTCAAAAGCAGATGCTGTGTGAGTCCTGTTTGCCTTCAACTTTTCTGTCTAGGTTAGTTTTCTTACTAGAAGGAGTGGAGGGTCTTCTGGGAAGAGAGAAACAAAGGTTGAGGGCTGGGGATGTGGCTCAAGCGGTAGCGCGCTCGCCTGGCATGCGTGCGGCCCGGGTTCGATCCTCAGCACCACATACAAAGATGTTGTGTCTGCCGAGAACTGAAAAATAAATATTAAAAAATTCTAAAAAAWAAAAAGAAACAAAGAAACAAAGGTTGAAATGTAAATGTATGATGAGATGCTAAGGTGCACTGCGCAGGTCAGATAGAGTGGTCCCTACTGTGACTGAGAAAGATGTCCTCAGAAAGAAGCCACAGAGCACCAGTCCTCCCAGACCACAGTAGCTGTGAAGGGGGCTCTACAGTGGCTGTCCCAATTCTGGAATTTTGGGTCGACCAGTGGTTTTGTCGCATGTGAGACCAGGATGACCACATGCACCTGTGTCCCTTTCGCTGAGGAGGGCAGGTGGAGATAGGGAGGGATGTTGGGGGATTAGCTGTAAGCCCTGGGATGCACCTGGTGTCTGCTGGATGCATACTATTGGGTACCAGGTATAGATGGTCTCAGACTTGACTAGCAGGAGACCTGTTTTCTAACCTCTGAACAAAGACTAGGAAAGATTATCGTATTACTGCCCCTGTACTGCTTTGTTCTAAAAGGAATCTTCTGTTTGCATTGTATATTTCAGAGTTCTTGGGGAGAGTGAAAAGGTATTCCTTTCTTTATCCTTTGTCAGTGACCTGCTGGTTTTCTGGCAGCAGTAGCCCGTCAAGCCTCTTAGGTTCCTGAGGTGAAAGGCAAAAGAATAGACAGCTTTTCTAATTCAGTCTCTCCAGGAGAAGGGCTCATTGAGAGGGCAGCAACCTCAGGGAGCCACAGTGCTGTGATCCCTCCAGAGATGTCCACTGAGGGTTAACTAGCATGGCAGAATGGAGACTTTCAGCAAGTAGTCAGATGGCCATGGCTGTGGACCCTGGAATTTCAGATTCTAGGTGTTGGTTTTCTAAGTTGGATACTGTTGGGGGCAGAGGGAAGATTCTGGAGCTGCTCAAGCAGAGAACTTTGTAGACACTAGCCACTCTTCTCATAGCCCTCTTCCCATTGTTCCCAGCTGCCTCTCTCTAGGGAAGGAGTAGAAGGCGCCTTGATTTTAGCCCCCACACATGCTTCCTTGCATCCTCCATTTATATCCTTGATAGAGTTTTCTTTTTTTACTTTTCCCCAAGACTGCCCTGTCAGGGTTCTAGGACCCATAGTCTCCTCTCCTCTCAGACACCTCGGCCTTCTTCTCTTCTAGAAATCCTTAATTTTTTTCCCTTTTGTTGTTCTTCCTCAAGTATATACTAGATGCAGGATAAATGACTGCTTATTTACCTTTTTCTAATAAAGTGTGCAGATTCAGGGCCATTTGGCTGTTTTAAACTTTGACCTTCCTTAACTTCTGTGATGCTTCCTCTTTTCTCCCTTTCAGTTCCCCCTTTCCTACTGGGTACCTCCACTCAGTCCACCTTATATTGTCGTATGAATAGTCTTATTAAATCATAATTTTGTCACATCACTCCCTCAATGTAGTGCTCAGATTCCTTAGCCTGGTGGCCAGGATTCTGTTGTTGACCTCAGTCTCTCAGTAAACAAAGCCCCAAGTGTTCCTTGATTGTTTACCATGTGCAAGCACTGTGCTGGCTCCGTGGTAGGACAGCTGGGTGACGATGATTTAATTCTCAAGGCACTGGGTGCCAAGAAGGGCTGCATCAGTAGCCAGAGAAGCCCAGCTTGGTGACTAGCTTGTACTGGAAAAAAGGGAGGTATGGGCCTTACTGCTGTGCTGCAGAGGGTTCTCCTGGAGATAGATGCCTGTGCAGAACCACATGCATCTGCAGCAGGCTACTTACTGAAAGCTCCTGGTGCGTGAAGACATGGCTAAGAGCCTGTGTGCATTATTAACTAAATCTTTTTGACAGCATTCTAAGGTAGTACTGTTATTTGTAGGAATTAAAGCTTACATGATATTCATAAAAAGTATTTTTATATATTTATAAGTAAATATGGTTTATGCTAAGGAAATTTTTTGTTTCCATTGGCAACCAGAACACTTAGAACTCTGTCTCCTAACCCACATTATTGGCTATTCATCCTGCTCCTTTGGGGACCATGGAGTTTTGGCTGGTACAGCCTGTTATACCTTGGCTTGGGGTCTGTCAGCTGCATGATTATTCAGAAAGGATTAGAGAAGAAGATCCTGAATTTAAATATATATATATATATATATTAAATTTTTAATTGATTTTTTAAAAACTGACAGCAGAATGCATTACAATTCTTATTACACATATACAGCACAATTTTTCACATCTCTGTTTCTATATAAAGTATGTTCACACCAATTCATGTCTTCATACATGTACTTTGAATAACGATGTCCATCACATTCCACTATCCTTGCTAATCCCCTGCCCCCTCCCTTCCCCTCCCACCCCTCTTCCCAATCTAGAGTTCGTCTGTTCCTCCATGCTCCCCCTCCCTACCCCACTATGAATCAGCCTTCTTATATCAGAGAAAACATTTCAGCATTTGTTTTTTTGGGACTGGCTAACTTCACTTAGCATTATCTTCTCCAATGCCATCCATTTACCTGCAAATGCCATGATTTTATTCTCTTTTATTGCCGAGTAATATTTCATTGTGGATATAAGCCACATTTTTTTTTATCCATTCATCTACTGAAGGGCATCTAGGTTGGTTCCACAGTTTAGCTATTGTGAATTGTGCTGCTATAAACATTGATGTGGCTGTGTCGCTGTAGTGTGATGTTTTTAAGTCCTTTGAGTATAGACGGAGGAGAGGGATAGCTGGGTCAAATGGTGGTTCCATTTCCAGTTTTCCAAGGAATCTCCATACTGCTTTCCATATTGGCTGTACCAATTTGCAGTCCCACCAGTAATGTATGAGTTTGCCTTTTTCCCCACATCCTTATCAACACTTATTGTTGTTTGTCTTCATAATAGCTGCCCTTCTGACTGGAGTAAGATGAAAAATCTTAGAGTAGTTTTGATTTGCATTTCTCTAATTGCTAGAGATGATGAACATTTTTTCATATATTTGTTGATTAATTGTATATCCTCTTCTGAGAAGTGTCTATTCAGGTCTTTGGCCCATTTATTGATTGGGTTATTTGTTGTTTTTTTTTTATGTTTAGCTTTTTGAGTTCTTTATATACCCTAGATATTAGTGCTCTATCTGATGTGTGAGGGATAAAGATTTGCTCCCAAAATGTAGGCTCTCTATTCACCTCACAGATTGTTTCTTTTGCTAAGAAGAAGGCCCTAACTTCCTTAATAAGACTCCTATAGCGCAAGAATTAAAACCAAGAATCAGTAAATGGGATGGATTCAAACTGAATATATATTTTTAAAGTGCTTGATTGAATTCAGAATCTTTTAGGATAGTGATAAGACCCAGCTCCCTTCCTGCCTTCCTTAAAACCTCAAAAGAAGTGGAAGTACCACAGCACAGCCCTTCTCATGCCCCCGCTTCTGCACTGCCCTTCCCTACTGAGGGAATCACCAGGCCTGTCTGACCTTGAGGGCATGACAGACATAGTTGCACCCCTGCGTTTTGAAGTTTTACCTGTTTGTTCTACCCAAGTTTGGTACCCAAGTTTAGTCCTGGCTGCCTTCATTCTTCCCACCCTGTCTGCAAGAGGGACTGAAACCCTCCCACATCCCATGGGGGCCTTGAGTCATTCAGAGAAAGAAGCTGGAAGCAGTCCATGATGGAAGTAGCCACAGAATGGCTCCTTCCATGCCCCATCCTGAAACTTTTTTTCTCCAAAATCAAGGGCTGGGCCAAGCTCCCTCCTCTACTATAGTAGTAGGAGTTCTGAGGAGCAGGTAGTGCTCTTTATTTGGAGCCCAGGACCCCTCTTGCCAGCAGATGACCACTGAAAACACAGGACATCTTAGATTGAGGTGACTGACTTTCATCAGCAGTGTGACAGGAGGTTATTTTTGGATGTTTAAGGAAGAATTGTTGGATTACCTGAGATTGGGTTTGGAGTTTGGATCATTCTTTATCCTAATTGCTTTAGCAATGGTAAATGAATCAGAACTGAAGTGGAAAATGTTCTTGGGCTTATGTTTTGAACACAGAGAGTAATGATGCTTATATTCCACTTATAGGAGTGGCAAGGAACTCACTATACCAAAAAGAAAAATGGAGATAGTATACAGCAAAATGTGAAGATAATACCTGTCATTGGACAGGGAGGGTAAGTGGGGGGAAAATGTCCTTCAGTTAGCATTCCAGAATTTTTGGGGTTATTGCAAAATTTGCTTTCAATACTTAAGTTCAGAACTGCTTGCAGAACTTAAAAGCCTTGTAATGAGGCCAGGTATCAACCAGAATGATCTCCCAGGGTAGTGAGTGTTTCCTTTATGACTTTCTCACAGCTGCAGGCTGATCCTCCACCTGCAGCCCAGAGACACCAGACTTGGGACAGTCCGAAGTATTTAAATCAGCATGTCAGGTGTTTTATTTTTGTGTGGTTGGTTTTTTGTTTTCTTGTTGTTTGGTTGGTTGGTTTTGGCTTTTTTTTTCTTGGTATGGGTACTAAACCTAGGGCTCTACCACTGAGCTAATCCCCAATCTTTTTAATTTCAAGACAGGGTCTCACTAAGTTACCAGGGCTGACCTGGAACTTACTGCAGGCTCCTGGGTAGCTGAGATTATAGGCATGCACCACCACATCCATCTAGAATGTCAGTTTTCAAAGCTGTGTGATAAGAATGCTCCCTAATATTTAAAAGATTTGTATCTAATTTGATTATAACCTATATACCATTTCTGCAAAGGCCTATCAAATTTGTTAAAAATATTTTAAATGCTATCAGTTATGGAAATTCTTATGTAAAACAGATATGACTACAGATGGGAAATCATTATGTATCAGGAACCAAAACAAAAAATCAGATGGTTGATCTTAGAACCTAATTGAAATAATTTGGAAAGTGAAAAATTATGCATATGAACTGTGGAACACCCAATAGAAGACATGTAACCACTAAAAACGATGATCATAGAACACTAATTATACAGGGAAAGTGTATGATATCATGTTAAATGCAAAAAGTAAAATGTGAAGTCAGACCTAGTGTGTGATCAGTCATAGATAAGAAAGGAGGCGAATAGGAGAAGCTTGGCTCTGGCAATTGCAGGTCTCCCACCATCCTCGGCTCCCCATGTTTGCCAGACGGGCCACTTCATCCTAACTGCAGCCCTGTGAGGCTGCCACCATGATTGTTTTCATTTTACAGATGAAGAAACTGAGGCTTAGAGAGATTCAGTTTCTAACCCTAGTGTGGACTTCCGCGTGTACTAGTGCCAGGCGCAGCCCTCAGCACTGACTGCACAGCTCACGTGCTCTGTGTCACCAGGCTGTGCTGCCAGTTGGCTATGGCCTCAGGGAACTGGATCTGTGTGGGTTCTCTGTTCTGATTCTATGCCCTTTTATGTCCTTTCCAATTTTTTTTAATGATAAGTGCATAGGGATTTGATTATCAAGGGGGGAAAAGTGAAAAAACTGAAGGAACAATAAATAAATGGGGGAAAGAGTCAGCAGCTTCTGAGCTCAGTTCTCAATGCTTTGTTTTAGAGTCTGGTTAACCAAGGTCAGGGGGAACCTTGGCCCCAGTGTTGGCCTCTGGCTGTTTCCATGAGTGACTATGAACAGATGGTTTGTCAGAAGTCAAAAAAGGGCGTCAATATAAAGGGTAGTGAGATCCATAGCATGTTGGGAAACTGAAGGCTCTTGGTTGGTCAACATGCAATACATTTAAAATATTTATTTTTTACTGTTTGTTGTCATGACTGGGGACAAATTTTGTTTTTACTGAAGTCACTTCTTTTCTCCAGAGACACCAGAGGATGTTTGTAAACGTTCGTTCATTTATTATTGACCTTGGCCACCAAAAAATAGAAATGCTCTTAAAGTATTTTGTGTTGTGAAAAGGAGGAGCTCTTTTCATAATGAAAAATTAACTACATGTCCATCAAATTAATGTCAGGAGAGAAATAATGCATTGTTTTGTATTTGCAGAAAAATTAGACACTATGTGTCCATTATCAGAGTATGCAGTGGCAACAATAAGGTATGTGAGAAGAGCCCTAGGACCCCAAGCTCACTGCAGCAAGATTTCCAGGCATTCAGAACTAATGGCTTTTTTTTTTTTGGTGGGGGGGCTACTGGGGATTGAACTCAGGGGCATTTAACCATTGAGCCACATCCCCAGCCCTATTTTGTATTTTATTTAGAGACAGGTTCTCACTGAGCTGCTTAGCACCTTGCTTTTGCTGAGGCTGGCTTTGAACTCTCAATCCTCCTGTCTCAGCCTCCTGAGCCACTGGGATTACAGGCATGCCTGGCCAGAATTAATGGCTTTTAAAATTTCTTTTTAGGCTGAGAAAATACCAGAAGGTGTTCAGTCTGACACTCATACAGGTATGGTACCTTATATTCTGTTGAGCTTTAGGAGAAAAAATAAAAACAGAACCTTCCTTTGACAAGTCTGTGGACCCTATTTTGCTAGCACCATAGCATCCCCATGGTGGGTTAGGAGTTCAAGGACCCAAGCACTGGTGGGCATGCTGACAGATAGATGCTGAGGGTAGTCTCAGCCTGCTGCCCGGTCAACTTAAACACCGGACTTATGTCAAGATGTATTGAATGTATGTTTTAAACCCAATCTGTGCTGTAAGAAGCAGACAGGATTGGTGTCACACCCAGAACTTTGGGGACATCTTCACCTGCCCTGACACAGTCCCCACCAGCCCATAGGATGGTCACTGGGCCCTTCAGACTTGCCTCATCTCCTGTCTCCCATCCATTCCTGGGATACCACGTGTTCATCCCCAATCTGTGTTACTACAAATGCTTCTCCCTGGCCTGGAGTCACCTGTTTCCTTCAGATATTTCATGGAGTCAGCAAACCCCTTCCTGCTCTGTCCTCACAGATGGGGGTGGTGAGTGGCATTCCATCAGGTGCTTGTGTGGACACTGTACCACCCCGCCATGCCCAGGCACTGTGCTTTGGTTGCAACTAATCTATAAGGGCCTCCAGGGAGAAGACCACCTTCCATACCTTTGTGCTGTTAGTGTCATGCTTTCTACACCACCACAAGAGTTTATTCATGGATTCTAGGAGTGTTTACTATGTTTTTCTGAGCGCTCACTGTTCCATGACACTGTGCTTTACGTGTGGTTTATTTAACTGAGGTCCTGGAGTAGCCCAAGGAAGTAGTAATTGATAGATGAAGTTCCCTTTTCACAGGTAAGAAAATAGACAGGCTAAATAATTTGCCCAAGGATGTGGCAGGGGTTGATTTTGAATCTTGAAATGCTGACTCCAAATTTCTGAAGCACATGCAGAAACAGTTCTTATAGGTGCCCCAAGAGCAACCAGAGCTTTCATCTGACAAGAAGAGACACCAGGCAAGTGATGGGAAGTGGTCAGCACGGATGGGGAGGGGCCAGTGGAGCCATGATGGCTCACAGAAGAGAGGATGTTCCAGATAGAGAGAGGCAGATTTGAATAAGAATAGGGGTGGGGAAGGGAAAAGCAATAAAAACAGGCACAGAAGAGGGAAAGTACAGGGTGTGTTCTAGAAAAACCAAGTACTAAATGTAGACCAGTATAAAGGGGTAATGGAGGGAAAGGAGTTTGGATCAATATGATCCTTAAATGGTAGGCAGGAAGTTAGCTTTTCATTTATAGGCATCAGGAATCAGAGGATGTTCAAGCAGGGGTGTGAGAAAACACTTGAGCTCTAGAAGTCCTTAGATTGTGCCTGTAACACAGTTCCCATGGAAGGAGGGACAGAAGTACTGTGGCTGAGAGGAGAGAAAGCATTGGCAAGGAATAATGATGTGATGGGGGTAGGAAGAGAGGAGTGACCACATGTGAGGCCGGTGTGGAACCAGGGAGCAGTTGAGAAGACCTGGCTCAGTCTGGAGACTTAGAGTGTGGTGACAGGGCTGGGGAGGTCAATGCAGAATGCTTTCCGTGTGAGTGGGCAGCTAGGTGGCTGTGTTTATTCACTCCTCTGTTTACTCACCGTACACATTTCTTTGAGCACCTACCTGCTGGCCACTGGTTCCTGTGCTTTGCAGAGAGATAAGGATTAGAGGTGCAGATGTTTCAGACCAGCAAAAGCATTAGCAAGCAACAGCCACGGAACAGATGAGGTGGAGTCCAGGAATGGTAAAGGGGAGTGGAAATTTTGAGGTTACTGTGGAAGAGAATGACAGGAAAAGGAGCAGAGGGGTGAGGCAGCATCCTGGAGACCACCTGCCTCAGAGAATGAGGAAGCCATGCCTAGGGGTGTGGAGGAGGGAGTGTGTAGGGTGTCACTGCTGCCCAGAACAGGGAGAAGGGAGGAATGGTGAGGGCTGGATGGCATGGAGCAGAGCCAGCAATGCGGACTTTCATGTTCAGGAGCTCACATGACCAGTATAAGTGTGGTTTCAGGAGAAGAGTAAGTGCAGAAGCCAAATTGCAGGAGACAGAATAATCAGAATAAACATGACCAGTGTGGTCCTATATGCAACAGTCCTACACTGCAAGCTTACAGGGCATTTCTCCTGTTTGATTTTTTGTTGTTGTTGTTGTTGTTTGTTTGTTTTATTTAAATTCTTCGGAATAGCCCTATGAAGTAGGCATGGCTGTCATTAACACTTTATTACAGAAGAAACTGAGGCTCAGAAAAATTCAGTGACAGCCTGGCTTGGACAGTCAGGAAGCGACAGCTGGCACTGGAAAGGAGAGTTAGTGAGACTGTTGTAAGAAATGTTAGGCGAGGGAAGAACCCCTCAAACAGCGCTGTTCTACTGGGTCATTTAGTCATTTCACCTGAACAGCACTCACTTAGGAATCTTACCCATCACCCAGTTGAGCCACCCTCCTGCCCCATCTGAGTCCCCCGTGGCAACATATGTTCGAAGGGCCTAGCTGGCTGGCCTTGGCAGAGCAGGTGAAGCTCTTATGGACTATCTCAACTCCTCAGTAAGATGCAACAAAAATTAATTCTTAAATAGAAATGGAGTTTATTTGGAAGGAGATAGAGTAGCTTTCAGATTGGACAGGAAAGCTTAGTTAGTTTTGGAAAGGGGGTGGGAAAAAGAGAAACTGGGCAAATGTCCCCACTGTCCTAGGAATACCATAGAAGCAGCATGGTTGCACACCACTCGCTCTGGTGGGGGGTGGGAGAGGTGTTGCTGCCACCATCATGGGCAAAATAGCTTCCTCACTCCCTTGCTCACCTCACTCCAGTGCAGGCTGGGGAGAAATCACTCATTTGGCTGGCGTGGGCCACCTGCTTCTTCATAACTTCCTTGGTGTGGAGCAAGGGAACCTTCAGCTCCTCCCTTCTGTGGTGGGAGCCTTGGAACCCCCAAACTGAGAAAGAAGGCTGAGTCCAGGTGTCCAGAGAAGTAATAAAGCCCCAGCACACCCCCTTTCCCTGGTCTGTGTCTTGCTTGCACATGACACTGTGTCTCACTGATGGTCTAGTGACAGTGGTCCATTCTCTTAACCTGGATTTGTTCTGGGTCAGGCCCCCACCCTGGCTGAACACAGAATTCACTGCCTGATGGAAATAGTCTGAGCACACTTTACCTTGTAATACCACATTGGGGGGAAATGGGGACACTTCCAGTGATGATGATGGTTGAGCAGGTGTTTGGAAGAGAAGTGGGGGTCAGCCACAGGACAGAGTGGAAGGAGCCACATGCACAAAGGCATGGAGTCAGGTAAGCAAGTAAGTCAGTTTGGGGAAGCTGTGGGGGAGGCCGTGTCTTCATAAATGGGTGAGTTGAAGGGGTCAGATCTTAGAAAGTGTGATGGTATAGAGACCAAAGGCAGTGGAGTGTCAGTGTTGAAGAGCTCCTTAGAGTAGTCGGGGAACTGGCATACTGTGCAGGAGAGAGAAAAGACTTGCAGATGACAACAACACTTCCAGCTTGACCTGTGGATAACACTGATTAAAATAATAAGTGAAAATAAGATGGTCATGAGAAATAGCAGATTGGGCTGGGGATGTGGCTCAAGTGGTAGCGCGCTCGCCTGGCATGCGTGCGGCCCGGGTTCGATCCTCAGCACCACATACCAACAAAGATGTTGTGTCCGCCGAGAACTAAAAATAAATATTAAAAATTCTTTCTCTCTCTCTCTCTCTCTCTCTCTCTCTCTCTCTCTCTCTCCTCTCTCACTCTTTCAAAAAAAAAAAAGAGAAATAGCAGATTTGTACAGGAGAAAATAGAAGGTTTAGGTTTGAATTTATTACATATGAAGTCCTGTAACATTCTAGTGTAGCTGTTTGGTGGCATTCAGTGATAGGCAAAACTCTGGGCTCTGGGCCAGCTCTCCTAAAGAGAGGAAGTGAGGCAGGAAGAAAGTCCTAGGAATGGCACCTGGCAACAATAGACATTTAAGAGATGGGCAGGGAGCAAGATGTAGAATTCATTCACTCAGCCAGCACTGTCTGTGCTTGGGAAGAACCTGCATTGCAGCTGAGGGGTGAGATCCACAGTAAGCAAATGGCATATCAGGTGGTACTAAGTTCTGTGCAGAAAAATGAAGCAGCACATGGGAGGTGGGCAAGGCATGCTAGTAACAAGGCAAGCTCTGGCTCTGTTGGCATGGAGTGTGGCCAGGCCGCAGCATGCTTTTCATGCTGTGGTCTTGTCAATTGTTGCCAGGGTTGGAACTATTGCTGTAAGCCCCACAGATCACTGGAGACTTGGAACCTCATCCTGCACCTGGGGAAGTAAGCCTGCTCCGGAAGAGTGGATAGTCAGTGTTCACCATCCAGTAGAGAGGCTAGAGAGCACAGGTGGCAGACAGCTGTGTAACTGGCTGTCCACAGGTAATGTGATGCAGAGCAGCATTCCACATGTGCCTGCATTATAGAGAGTGCCCATGCAAGGGCTCAAGCAGTCGGCTGAGGTCTTGGCACAGTGACTTGGGGACTTGAGCTCTTCCCATTTCCATACTAAAACTCCTACTGCCAAGCTGCAGGGTTAATGCAGTTGGGAGGAAGTTGCTGCAGGTGAGGGGTGGTGACTGGCTACCATCTCTCCCTTCCCCCACTGCTTCTCCAGCATTTCCTGGATTTACCCAGGGGGCCAAAAACATGCTGCTGATGTTTCTGTACTTAAAAAAAAAAAAAAAAAAAAAGGACAGAATTTAACCCATTAAGTCCCAAATTTTCAATTCTGCAAATATTTCAATGAAATTGGCAGAGGTACATTAAAATGGGTTGGAAATCATAATCTACAGCTCATATTTCCTTTATATATTTTTCATATATATGAATGCTCTAATCATTGACCTAATCATTCTTTTCTCAAAAGAATAGAACTTAAAAAAAAAATCTATTTCAAAAGTTACTGAATTGTATATATTTTTTGCTCAGTTTGAGTTTTTATACATGTCCCACACCTGGGATGATGGGACTTAGCTGGTTAAGGATCTCATTTTACAGAAGAGGAAAACAAAAGCAGGAAGGTGAAGTAGTGGGTGGTACTGGGCCCAGGCCACAGCTACAGAGTCCTCTTCTGTGTTCTCTCCACTGACAGGCCTGGTACTTGAGGCGGGTCTGCATTTGTTGAGCATTCACTAAGTATGTGGCCCTTCAGGAGCTGCAGTCTGTAGGAATTAAAGGTCACACTTCCTCTTTTATCCCCTGGTATTCAACTTCTGAGAACTGGGCACTGGGCAGACAGGGTTGAGGTGTGCATGGCCCATCTCCACCCACGGGGTAAAAATTGCTTAAGAAGCATTTATAACATGCTACAGGGACTGAAGGGAGCAAAAATCCTATCAGGGCTGTTGGAAACAAGAGGATCTAGTATTTACATAAAGTAGCTTTAAAATGTCTCAATAGAAATTAAATTTGCGGGGGCTGGGGATGTGGCTCAAGCGGTAGCGCACTCGCCTGGCATTCATGCGGCCCAGGTTCGATCCTCAGCACCACATGTTGTGTCCGCTAAAAACTAAAAAAAAATATATATATATTAAAAATTCTCTCTGTCTCTCTCAAAAAAAAAAAAGAAAGAAAAAGAAAAATTAAATTTGTGTCTGTTTCTTCCACTCTTGCCCACCTCTGATACACACACTGCTTGACTCCTCCTGCCTTCAGAATGGTTGCTTTAACTCTTGATTTATCTGCCCTTGCTCTCCATTAGGCCACCCCTTTTGAGGACATGGACTACATCTTATTCATCTTCCATCCCTAGTGCTAGTTGTGTTAGCTTTCTCTCACTATAACAAAATATCTCAGGTAATTAACTTGCGACTGAAGCCCTCCCACTAGGCCCTAGTTCTTAAAGCTTCTACCACTTCCCAGTAGTGCCACTCTGGGAACCAAGGCTTTAAACCCATGGGCCCTTGGGGGACATTCAGAATCCAGATTATAATACCAGTCTTAGGGCCTGACACAGGGTAGGTGCCCAGTGAATATTTGTTGAATGGATAAAAGGGAACAGAACAAGGAACAAACGATAAGCTCACAGCCCAGTGTTGGTGGACAGCAGTGTGGACATAAGTCATCACGAAGCTCAAGAGAAAGGAGATGTGGCGCAGCATTGAGAGCATTGGTTGAGAGAAGCTGCCCTTTGAAGGAGTGAGCATCTAGGGAGGGTACATTTTTATCCCACAGGAGCAGCCATTGTCAAGGCTGCTCCAGAGATGGGGCAAAGCAGTTGTGCTGATGCAACACATAGTTAAGGCCAATGTGAGGGAGAGGCAGGTCTCTGCAGGCAGATTGTGCCTTGAAACCATTCTCTAATCTCTGAGGTACTGGAGGATTCCATGTAGGGGAGTCACAGAATCAGAGTGGTTGTCTTCAATAGCACTTTCATTTGTGCACAGAATATGTAGGTGTTTGGCAAAGCAGGTGCATATTTATCGAGCATCTGTTAGTATGTGCTAGTGCAGTGCTGGTCACCTAGGGAGGACTGTCCCTGCTCTCAGGTTGTTCACAGTTGGCAAGGAAGACAGTAAAGCCAGACATCTCCCTGTTCTATTGGGATGGTATGGGAAAATTTCCCACAGCTTATGGTTCCTGAACTGCCTCTTCACAGAGGATCAGAATTGGGAAGGAGGTACATTCCCAAGCAGCTGTTGGTACCAATGTTTGTGAGATGATGGCTTTAGAGAGGAGTTCCAGATCTTGTGGGACTCTGAGTGCCACACTGAAGAGTTTGAATCTTTTCCTAAATATTGGTGAGCCATTGAGCCCAGGCTTGTTATGCTGCTGGTAGAGAATGGGCAAGGTTGGGGCCTGGAGGACACTTGTTATTACGATGAATGTCTGAACTAGGATAGGGACAGAGCATGGGTAGAGAAAGAGGTATTTAGGAGGTGGAGTCCATGGATTTGGTTGACCATTTGAGGGAGAGAAGGGAAGAAGTCATGGATGACTTGCCTCTACCTTAAACAAAAGTTAGATGCAGTTCCGTGACCTGGAATAAAGAGCAGCTTCAGAAAATAGGTCAGTGAGTCCATTGCAGTACCTGAAGAGTTTTCAAATGGAATTGACTGGCATCTGTAAGACGTAAGTCTGGACCTCAGGAGAGAGGCCAGAGACAGACAGATAATGCAGGAATTGATTAAAACTGTAGGAAGGAGTAACATCTTCCACGGAAGTTGTGTTGCCTGAGAAGAGAAGAAAGGCTAAAGCTAGAACCTTTGGAAAGTAACCAGAGGGCCAAGAAAAGGAGTAAAGGAAGAATCAGTTAAGAGRTAGAAGGAAAACGAGGAGAGTGTGGATTTCACAAAACAGGACAATCTTAAGGGGATCAGTTGTGTCTGATAGGGTTAAGAACTGAATTGTGGTCTTCAGAGTAACAAATAGGTCATTGGTGATCTTGACAAGTCACTGTGTCCATAGAGAAGACAATCAGGCTTCCGCAAAGAGCAGGTGAGAAATTTCTTGATGGTACAGAAGGAGGACTAAGGGCCTGCACTGGGGTCTCGTCTGTGAGTAGGGGATTGGAAGGGTCGAGATGAAGATGCCAAGTGAGACAGAGAAGCCTCTCCTTGAGCATGAGGAGAGGAGAGCCCATCCAGAGTTCCTGCCCAGCCATATGGACATCTGCAGCTGGGCTCCATTTCCTCATCTGTGAAATGGAGATAACGAGGGTAGGCAGGAAGGCTCCAATACCTCATGGGGTACACAGCAAATGCACAGAGGAATGGCAGGAAGGATAGAAAAGCTTGCCTTGTCGGGGACTAGCAGGAGTCAGCACTGGAGACGAGTCAAAGACAATCTCATTTGGAGCCTAGGAGAGCACTAGTGCCTCTTATAAAAAAAAAAAGCGGGGAGTCAGAGGAGAAAGGCCTTCAAAACACACCCCAAACAGCATTTTCCATGATGAGAACAACATTCTCAGGGACATTTTACTTATGTTATAGAGAAGATTTTTTTTTTCTCCTTTAGGGCAAGGGTGAATGGGGATCAAACTTTCAATCATTTTTTCCAAATATATGCAAATGTAATAGAAATACTCCTGAGACCATTTCTGCCAGTTGTTATTTTGTATCATGGGACTGTTGAAGCTCTTATTTATGAATGTCCACCCCCTCAAGACTGGGTTCTTCGTTCTTCTCTATGCTGCGCTGATTTGGGGGGGCATCTTAAACAGTGTTCTAGTTCTTAAATTTGATGTTGTTAAAAATTCAGCTTTATTTCCTTTGCCAATATGTTGTTAACATCTCTGAAAAGATGATTTATAATCAAATTGTTTCCACAGATAATCAGACAGGCAAACATAAAGACAGGAGGAAAAGCTCACTCGACATTAAATCTGTTGCCTCTCGAAGTGAAGGTGAGTGACAAAGATGGGAGAAGAAAATAGGATAATGCCCAACCCACCTTCCCAGTCTTATGTCCTGGTCACCTTACACTAGGCTTCCACAGAAGGGGTCCATCCCCTCCCACACCCTTTCCAGTTGGCTCCATTTCAAGCTTTTAATAGTCAGGGAATAAGGAAAAAGAAAAGAAACATTTACTACATATTCTATGTGGATTTTCTAAACTACAACAGCAGATGTCATTTGATCCCTTGTAGTTATATAATGACACCTGGTAACTCCGGGATTCCCTTACAACTTGCAGTTTGCTATGGAAGCTTACCTTTGGGGAAGGGGTGAACCGATTTGGAGATTGTGAGATTCTCATTAAGCAAATATTATTTAAGTTCTAAATGAATATAATATTTTTTAGTTGTTCATGTACTTTTATTTTTTATTTATTTATATGTGGTACTGAGGTTCAAACCCGGTGCCTCACACATGCTAGGCAAGTGTTCTGCCACTGAGCCACAACCCCAGCCCCATGAACTTTTTTTTAAGAAGGTCATGGAGATGCATAGCCTAAATGATGTGGCATTTTTAATGTACTAAAAATTGTTCATAGACCGAGGAGGCAAATATGACTGCTAGTTATGTACATTCTTTGGCCAAAAGATGAATAGGAAAGACACAAGGCTAGCTATTACTCATTCAAAAGATAAACAGAGTCAAGGAGATAGCTAGAATTATATCTGCCCTGGTGCCCTCCACAGTTTTGTAGTGCAGCTCAGATGACATGCTGTGGGTGCTTGCACTGGGAGGACTGTACAGATTATATCTCTGCTGCAAGGGCAGTGTTGGGGGCCAGTTGGGAAAGTGTGGTGCTATGGGAAGGAGAATGGGCTTTGGCATCAGAATGACCTTGGTTCAGTCCCAGGTTCATCTTGAGAGTGGATTTCTGTGCTTCCACTGCCATATCTGTATCCTAAGGATGATGGCACTGCCCAGGGACTGTCTGAGGATAGCTACCATCATCATCTTCAGTGTGGCTATCATCATGGCATTCCCATGATTCTCTATTACTTCTGTTGGGCCTTTGTACATTTCTGGGTTTTTTTTTTAATATTTATTTCTTAGTTATCGGCAGACACAACATCTTTGTTTTGTATGTGGTGCTGAGGATCGAACCTGGGCCACCGGCGCTACCGCTTGAGCCACATCCCCAGCCCCTCTGGGTTTTTTTATATTTATTTTTTAGTTGTAGTTGGACTCAATATCTTTATTTATTTATATGTGGTGCTGAGGATTGAACCCAGGGCCTCACACATGCTAGGCGAGCACTCTACCACTGAACCACAACCTCAGCCCCATTTCTGTTTTTTTTTAATCATTTGCTTTTTGAAATCATTTTTAATCAGATATCAAATTTTAGTTCAGTGGATTTTGACAACCTGTTTCGCTCATGTAACCTTCACACAAAATAGAAACAGGAAATCTATGTTTACACACACCCTTCACCACTGATCTCTAGCACCCTAAATCAATTCGGTCTCTTCTTGTGCTTCATGGGAATGGAATCATATCATACTTATTCTCTTCAGTCAAACTTCTTTCACTCATTTTAATGTTTTTGAGGTTCACCTAGGTTTATACACTGGAGAATGACTAAATGGAGCTAATTAATACATATATTACTTCTCATCCTTATTTTTTTGTGTGTGATGGGAACAATTACAATCTACTCTTAGCAGTTTTAAATAATTAAGACATTGTTATTGCTTTAATAGTAACATACAATAGATCTCTATTGTTTCTTAATAAACTTATTGATTTTTTTATTTATTGTATTTGTTTATTTTGGTACTATGGATTGAAACCAAGGATGCTTTACCATTGAGCTACATCCACAACCATTTTTGAAGTTTTTTAAAATTTTGAGACAGGGTCTCACTAAGTTGCTAAGTCTGGCCTGGAACTTGTGATCCTCCTGCTTCAGCCTCCAAGTGACTGGGATTATAGGTGTTTGCCTTGCATCTGACTTATTATATTTTTAAATTAGAACAAGTCCCTTTTTGACAGTGATAAAATAGGAGTTGTTTTTTGGTTTAATGACTGATTTGTATAAAATGGAAATTAGACAACTATATACTAAAATTAGATTTAAGAAGTTTTGTTGGTCTCCAAAATTTAAAGCATTTGAGAACACCAGCCTGGTTAACTTTGAACAGCGTATCTCCTTGGCCTCAGCTTCTCTGTTGGTACATTGAAACTGATGCATCAGCTGTGGAATAGGCTCTGACCTAGATGGCCTCTGGGAAGCAGCAGCTGGCCTGACAGTGGGTGTTCAGAGCTACGGAGGACTCTAAATCAGTTTCTCCTGCCTATCCATTGCCCAGGCCTCTCCTACCTCGAAGGAGCCATGTCTTGACAGGAGCAACACAAATTTACTTTGAGCCTAAGAGTTGCAACTTGCTTCAGTTCAGTTTACTTAATCAGCCTAGATTAAGCCTAACAGTATAGAACATCAGAGAGACTTATAAAAATTTATCCAGAAAGTGATTTATTTCAGTTAATGGTGAATTTAATATTGTTCCTGCCATATATAAAACAAAGAGCCTGTGTGGCATTGTCTTCCAGAACATTTTTACTCCTGGAGAGCACCAGTCAGAAAAATTATAAAGCCTATTGTTACAGATACAAAAAAGGGGCTATTTGGCCTTGACTTGCTAGGTTGTTTTCTCTATGGCTGTGACATCAGTAGTTAATCCATGGGGACATGTGTGCATCCTAGTGCCTAGAACTGCAGGAAGCAGAGTGGGCTGTACCAAAATGCAAGTTGTCAGGATAGGAAGGAAGCTCCGAAGCCCTGCAGCTCTAGTTGTGCCCCACCTCCACTCCCGTAATACAGTTGAGCACACTGAGGACTGGAGAGGGAGGGAGGTCAGGGATCCCTGGGCTGTCAGGGAACAAGGCTGTGCACACCCTGATTTCTGATCCTTCCTCCACAGTTAACAACCAGAGACGACACTCCTCCCTGGCCCGGATACATTCCATGACGATCGAGGCACCCATCACCAAGGTGAAGTGCGGTGATCAGTCTCCACTGAGCAGAGACCCTTGTACTCTCAGGGCATTGTTACCCTGACAAGACAGGGACCCACAACAATCAGATGGCTCTTAGAGTTGTGTGGTGCTGAAGAGGATGTTTCAAGAACATTTTACCTAGTCTTAAGTTAGTGTAGTGGCATAGTTAAGCACTGTCAAGTTTGACTCCCCATTTCTGTCCAATTGTTTTAAGGTTGGAAACTTTGGTCTTTTCTTTCCATAATGTAGGTAATCAATATCATCAATGCTGCCCAGGAAAATAGTCCCATGCCTGTGACAGAAGCCTTGGACCGTGTGTTAGAAATTTTGAGAACCACTGAGTTATATTCACCACAGTTCGGTGCTAAGGATGATGATCCTCATGCCAGTGACCTCGTCGGGGGCTTAATGTCTGTAAGTTTATTTGACCAGGCTACTAGCTAAGAGCTTGTTTTCTCAGAGATTATTTGTTTAAACAAAGAGGCAAACAGGGCATCATGTGTGGGGCTCATCAAGGACTAAACTCCCCCATATCTGGGTTCATCTGTTCTCCTGCCCAGCTGTCACCTGCTGCTCACCTCCTAGGGAACCTCAGTCTGGAGCAGGGAAGGATGGACAATATTCTAGACAGTTTACTAGTCCCAGTCTCCAGTGTTCCTGAGGTTTTAATGAGTAATTTATTTAAATAAAACTTTTTATTAAAGTCTTAGAAAACTGGGACAGAAAAACACATATTGAATGTTGCATATCAAATTGCAAAACAGGAAGACTGTCTTTTTCCTGACATATGTGTCTAAAAAGGTGCCAGTGGGTGGGGCAGTTTCCCCTCCAAAGCATTCCAGTTTGGATAACTACAGAGGAAAAAAGGCCATAGGAAAAGAATGTCACTAGAAGGGGGTTTTGTGTGTAAATTCCTGGGGTACCCTGGACGCCTCCTGTAGCTTGTCTAGAGTGGAGCTCTCACAAGAACACAGTTCATCCATTCTTCTCTGCCAGCTGTTTTCTTGGTTAGGAATGGAATTCACCATTTGATTTCATAAAAATAGGATTTTAGGCAAACTATTGGAGGTAGAATGGCTCTCTAACTGTGGCCTTGTGACAAAGGCTTCTCCAGCCTGTAGGCCAGAAATGAGAATGATGGGGGCAGGGTGGGCAAGTCCCCTGGAAGTTAGATGAGAAGGACCATGGACTGAAGCAGATGGGTGCCTACAAACCAGGCCCCAAGCTCTGGGAGCAGTGGGGAGGAGCCCAGGAAAGTCACCAAGGGAAACTGAAGTCACTTAGAAGGCAAGAAAAGATCCAGTGTTCCATAGAGATACAGTGTCCTTAGGGTGAAGAGAGTAGCAAGAAAATGGTGGGGAAAGACTGAGGGCAGAGGGGAGTTGTCTCTAAGATACCAGAGCAGCCCCAGAGTGAGGCAGGAATGCTGGGCTTCCAACGCCTGTCTGGAGCTAACCTCCCTGGTGTTCAGGAAGGGGAGGGCTGCCCTGAGCCATCCTCTGGGGCTGACCAGCTAGAGTTTTCACAGAGGAAAGAACAGCCATGACTTCTTTTTCTTGTTTCCTTGTTTTTTTATCAGGATGGTTTGCGAAGATTATCAGGGAATGAATATGTTCTTTCAACAAAAAGTAAGTTTTTTTGTTTTTAATTTTTGGATCACTTCCTATAATAAAAGTCAAGGTTTAAGGGATGAAAATAATTTTTCTCATCAGTAAGAGGTTTCTTGGTATATCATAAAGCCTCAGAAACAAAGCAACCATCCCTTGATGCAGTTCTGTCCTCCCTAAGAAACAGCAAATGCTATTAACCTACTAATTTTGGTCTCTACATTACATCACTTTGCAGACCTTCAACAGGTTTCACATAGTATAATCACTCCCATTTCCCTTCACGATGTCCCATCGCGGATAGCTCGAGGCCTGGAAAATGTGGAATACTGGGACTTTGATATTTTTGAACTGGAGGCTGCCACCCATAATAGGTGAGTGTGGGGAACTCTGCAGATGGAGAACTGCGCTCCAGGGGCCTGCATGGAGGAGGCCTGCCAAGGAGCATGGGTTGCATGAAGAATGAGGCCCTGGTCTAGGGAGAAAAGCTGAGGAAGGAGTTTTCTGGAGGGAGCCCTTGCCTGGATACCACATAGATGGCAGGTTAGTGCAAAGCACAAAACTGAGCAAGTGACTTCATGCCTCCAAATAGTGGAGGGTTTTTTCCGTGAAATAGGATACTGATTTCTTTTGTAGTGTAATTATTGACAATAGCAGCAACACCCCACTACCATCACCCAGAGTCTTGAACCAACATTGATTAGGAACACACACACACATTTTTAAGAGCTGACCATGTTGGTGACAGGCATGGGGAACATTCAAAACCCCAGTTGTCCTCATCTGGGTTTGATTGCAGAGCAGGGGCAAGAATGGGATCTTGCTTTATTTTGTACCTTGCTGGTTGAGAGGTGTTAACCAAAGGGGTGAGCTTGGCATGCAGAAGGGGGACATTCACATAGTTGATGCCACCAGGGCTGCTGGCAGGGATTTCAGGAGAGGTGTGCTCTGGTGGGCTGTGGATGATTCATCAGTACTCATCCCAGTCTGGATAAACTGTCCCCAGGAGGCCTCCACTTTGCTTATGCAAAATCAGTTCACCTTCTGATATTTTCTACTTCCCTGGGCCCTAACAAAGACAAGTGGAGTAGAGAAGACCACTCAGATGTAATTCTCAGGAATTTTCTTCTAGGCAGGACATCTGACATAGGTCCAGCAAGTCCAATGAGAGGATAGGGTTCAAAGTGGCATAAAAGTAGCCTGGACAAAGGATTATTTTGAGGAACCCAGTAGTGCAAGTAGAAATCTGAATAAGGAAGGGCAGGTAGCCAACCTCCCCCCAGCAGATGGGGAGCCTCCAAAGGAGGCTGGGCCAGAAGTTGGCTATTGTGAGCAGCTAGCTCTCACCCATCTTGGCCCCCTGAAGCTAGAAGCTGCACAGGGTTGTCAACTGCTGCAGAAAGAGGACAGCACATCTGAGGCAACTCCAATTGGCTGCCCTACACACCCTGCAGTCTGATTTGGATTTGCTTATTAGATCTGAATCTATTTGGGGCTCAGAACACTTAGCCTGTTTCTTTGCTTTGTTTATATTTGGTATATGTTTTTATCTGTAGACCTTTGATTTATCTTGGTCTCAAAATATTTGCTCACTTTGGAATCTGTGAATTCTTAAACTGCTCGGAGTCAACACTGAAATCGTGGTTACAAATTATTGAAGCAAACTATCATTCTTCTAACCCCTACCACAATTCTACACATGCTGCTGATGTTCTTCACGCCACTGCCTATTTTCTGTACAAACAGAGGATAAAGGTGAGCCCATGCTTGTACTCCATTTTTAATGGCAGGAGCAGTGGGGGAGAGTCTAGGGTTTCTGCCTCCACCAAGTGATAGGCAGAGTGACCACTCAGGTGCAGCCTGGCATACACATGGAGAGCTCACTTGAGAAATCAGGCAGGAAGCAACATTTGTATTTCTGAGGAATTACTATGTGAATTTATAACCTACGTCCAGCCATTCTGTGGGAGTACAAGAAACAGGATTTGGTCCATGGAGAGAGAGCCAGGAAGGACAGGTTCTTGTGGGGATCTCACCCTGAGTCTGTAGGCAGATGCAGCCAAATAGCTGTTGCATAGCACCTCTTAGTCAGTGAGGGTCAGAGCCCAATTCTGCCATCTTTGCTCCAGCACTACTCCCACCCCAGGTTATCTGCCTAGTCTAGGGTCCATCATTCATCCAGATAACAAGTCAGAAATCTAGAATCATCCTTGGTTCTTCTGCTCCTCAAGCCCTCTCCCCCTCGACATCTGATCCTGCATCTAAATGGTATCAGATTCATTCTCCCTCCTCCTGTCCCCATCATTTCTCATCTAGACATTTATTCCTGACTGTCCTTCTCAAGAACTTGCTTGCATTGCTGCCAGATATTGTGTCTGAAGCAGCAGCTTCCCATCTCCTGCCCGGATTTAAAGTTTAAAACTCCACCAAATGGGTGGAGTGATGATTCCTTTCAGACACACAGGCCACATTTGGGTCTTGCCAAAGCACTTTAGTGTCTGAAGCTTCTGCCTAAGACCAAGCATGGCCACAGTCCCACAGGACTTGTTGCCTTCTGATCACATTTTGTCCTGCATAACACGAGACTAGTATGTGTAATTGAATAAGGTGAAGGATGTTGTTCTGGCATGTGGAGGGCTTGAGCAAAAGGTAATTCCTCTCTGAAAGGCAGACCTCAGAGCAGGATCTTTCAGTTGCCCTTACCCTTCATTCTGTTATTTTAAAGATCAAGACCACAGGTAGATCAAAAGTCCAGAGAGAACTATTTTACAAATTATGAAAACAAGTGTCAAGGGATGTCTGCGTCAGTATGACTTAGCATATAAAGACCACACATTTTTACTATACTTATTGCTTTCGAACTACTCTATAAATATATATTCAGAGATAATTTAAATTTACAAACGTAGTTAAAAACATTTATTGAAGTATAATTCATACACCATACAATTCACCCATTTAAAGCTAAGACTATTAAATTTTAATTTAAGTCAAATTAACTGACAAGGCTGATTTACTAGATGCACATCTTCTTTTCAAGTATCTGTAGAATATTTTCAAATGTGATCTCGTAGTAGAACATATGTCTCAATAAACTTCTAAATTTCCTAGGTCAGTATCACAGAAATAAATGTTAAATTATCAATTTCTTCAAAACCCGCCTTTCTCCTGACTCACTTAACGTAATGTCTTCATTATGTTAAGTTCTTTGGCCCTTTGAAGAATTTTTCCATGTTTAAGTAATGTATATTTTGAAGTTATTTTTCTCTTATAATATTGGCATATGTTAGTTTAAGTAAATATCTTTAAATATCTTTTTTGTGAGGTTTGGAGAAAGACTGGCTGAGGAGGTGACTTGTTTTTGTCTGTTGAGGACACCTTCCATTTGGTTAAGTCCTTAACTTGTTCATCCTGAGAATCAGAATGTTCTCTAGTAAACACATATGTGGAGAGATTGCTGTTTCAGAGTGGAGAGAGGAAAATGTATGTGCTTTTCTCAGAAATCTGAGGTATTCTTACCTTCAAGTAACAGGACAGAGAAAGCTATATATGTCTACAGTGCCATACCCCAGTTTTAAAAAGATCTCTGTTTTCAGGAAAGTTTAGATCCAGTTGATGAGGTCGCTGCTCTCATCGCAGCCACCATTCATGATGTGGATCACCCTGGGAGGACCAACTCCTTCTTGTGCAATGCAGGGAGCGAGCTGGCCATTTTGTACAATGACACTGCTGTGCTGGAGAGCCATCACGCAGCCTTGGCCTTCCAGCTGACTATTAGAGATGACAAATGCAATATCTTCAAAAATGTAGAGAGGTAAGAAAAATGACATGTTGGTTGGTTTTTTGTTTGTTTGTTTGTTTGTTTGAGAGAGAGATTTTTTTTAATATTTATTTTTTTTAGTTTTCGGCGGACACAACATCTTTGTTTGTATGTGGTGCTGAGGATTGAACCCGGGCCGCATGCATGCCAGGCGAGCGCGCTACCGCTTGAGCCACATCCCCAGCCCCAGTCCCTGTCTTTTTATAAAAACAGTGTTATTAAGAAAATCCACCCATCTGGAGTGTACAGTAGGCTTTAGTGTAGTCACAGAGCTGTAAAACCATCACCCCAGTCACTTGAAAACATTTTTCATATCCCTTACAAAATCCTCAAACCCACAGCAATCCCTTGACATCCAGTTCCCCACCCAGCCTCCTACCCCTGGACATCCACATCAATTTCCCAGTTCAGGACACTTTTTATAAATGGAATCATATGTAGTAAGTGGTCTTTTGTGACTGTCTTCTCTCACTTAACGTAGGGTCTTCAAGGTTTGGTCCCTTTGTATTCTGACATTTCAAGAAAACAATATAACGCTGATGTCTTGAGCTCTTGGCAGTTCAGAAAGTGGCATCTTACACATTCACCTGAAGCCACTCCTGTGCCCACTGTGCCCAGTGGTTCTCCTCACCATTGTCTATTTATGTGTCATTTCCTTGGAGAGGTGATCTTCCTTCCCTGGTCCCTCACACTCAGTTAAGCCTTCTAATTATGCAATCCCAATTTCATTCATAGCATGTATCACATTTTTATTAAATAATTTTTAAGTTTACTTGTATAATATTTGATCAGATTTTCAAGCTCTGTAAGGTCTTGGGTGTCATGTCACTGTATCTTCCCTATGTAGTCCAGTTAGCACCTGGTACATAGTAGGGACATAGAACATATCAGCTGAAGAAAGAAAATGTTTTAGTTTGTGTTTTTAAGAAAGTTTTTTTTAAATATTTATTTTTTAGGTGTAGATGGACACAACACAATGCCTTTATTTTTATGTGGTGCCAAGGATCGAACCCGGGTCTCGCCCATGCTAGGCAAGCGCTCTACCGCTGAGCCACAATCCCAGCCCTTAAGAAAGTTTTATATGGGATTGTAAGGATATGCCAATTTCCCAAAACTACCTCCTGCTCTATCCTAGGAATTTAGAGATGGACTTGGGTTTCATTCACATTCACCTGTAGATACATCATTTCATTCATCTTTGGAAAAATATGTAAAACCCTGCTAACTTTAGTTTCCAGGTAAAGGAACAAGATGACTGCAGAAAAGAAGTTGAACAGAGACTTTGTTCTATACTCTTTTATACCTTTTGAATTTTGAATTATATGGATTGCTTCTTCAAAAAATACAAATTTAAAAATATTAAAAACAAAGGCTACAGGAAGAGTTGTGAAGTACTCTGTGATTTTCTCAGCTCTCAGAAGGTCTAGCCTCGAAGTTCTTTGGGTAGTAACATTTTGGATCACAGGGTACATTGTATTTGTTTTTGTTTTGTTTTGTTTTTTTAATATTTTTTAGTTGCCAATGGATTTTTTACTTTGTGTATTTATATGCGGTGCTGAGAATCAAACCCAGGGTTTCACACATGCCAGGTAAGCGCTCTACCACTGAGCCACAACCCAGTCCCATAGGGTACATTCTTAATGAAGATGGAGATCCGTGATTTTAAGAACAGGTCTTGTTCACTGACTATGACATGTCTTATTTGTTCTGAGAACTAATATGCACTATACTACAGGGGACAATAAGGTGAACATTGCAGCACCACAATCTTGCCCATAAGCTTCTGATATGAACTTTTGTTTGGGTTCCCTTTGCTAATGATGTAGGCACTAACCTATAATTTCTGCATTCTTTCAAAGTGAGACTTGCAGTGGCATTGTACTTGTAGCCATAGTGGAGATGCATCCTGAATAACAGATTGTTTCCAGGAGTACCTGTCTGGATAAATAACCTATAGCAGCCTCTTATTTGTCATCTGAAACAGGAATGACTATCGGACACTGCGCCAGAATATTATTGACATGGTCTTAGCCACAGAAATGACAAAGCACTTTGAACATGTCAACAAATTTGTTAATAGTGTTAACAAGCCCTTGGCAACACTAGAACAAGATGAGGTAAGTGAAATTTATTTAAAGAGGACCCATATCTGGGCCTCCTGTGCCTATGTGTTGTGCATAACATGGATCACAAGTCCCTGAGCCATGTGAGGGGCTTCCTTAGAGGGATCACTGAATTGGTTTTTGTTTTTGCAGTATGAGAGAGTGGACTAAGGGCCCCACATGTTCTAGGCCAGCATTCTACAGCTGAACTACATCCCCAGCCCTGAATTGGTTTTCATTTGGTAAAAAATCATTTGAGTATAAAAACTTAGCAGAAAGAGTTGAGTGAAAACTCACCATTCCTGCTCCCTTTCTCATAAATATCTCCTCTCTTCTCTTCTTGGGCATTCTAGGGCCAGTTGGAGCCTTTTCTCGGACACTCCCCACTGAGGCACATTCATTCCATGGTAGCAACAGCTCCCCTCACAGTAGGGTGGGGTCAGGAAGGACCCTGAATTTGGGTCACAGGGCGACATTTTTGCTCCTCATTTGTGGATTTGAGGCATGAAATCCACAACTACCTGGCAACGATAACATTAAACATCTAGCCAGGCAGGAGACCCTAGCTGTGGAAACAGGCATGGCTCAGTGCTCGCCCTAGTTTTCAGTACCATTTCCGTTTCTATACAGTGGGGACGGGGAAGCTTAAGGCATAAGATGGATGGGCATCACACCTATCATCACATCAGATCCACTGTGAGAGCAGCAACTGAGGCCCTCAAGAGAGGGCCATCTCTGAGCAGAGAACAATAAAGGAGATAATGCTGTCTCCAAATTTATTATTGTTCTATGGTTGACTTGAAAATTTGGGTCCTCCTTCAGCAACCTTTGCCAGTCAGGTGTTCAACTCCTCCACGTTGGGTAGTGGAGTTTTTGACCTTAGTTCATCCTCTTCAGAACTGTCATGATAGCCATCCTATTCAGAGGGGCTTCATCTACTATCAATCCTGTGTTGATGTGAGCATTGGGGTTAGTAGCTGGTCAGAAATTACCTTAGTGCACCTGAACTACTAAAGGAATCTTCCTTCCAGATAAATGGAGACATGTATGACCATAATTTCTAGCTTCACACCAACCTCAATGGACCCTGCCTGGCAAGAGTTAGTTCCATTAAACCTCTTATTCATAATGTGTCTTCCAATGAGCTCCTATGCTTTTATGTTTTTAACAGATTAACTGTCACCATTTGCTTTTTCATCCACTTTGAGAATAGTTAAAAGACCACCCTAAAGTAATTTAAAGAACACTTGTGACCTTGCCATGTATTTCACTGCTCGTTACTAGTTATTACCTAACACCTTGATGGTAGATCTGTCCCTGCTGAAATGGTACTGTTGGGCCTCCTTCAACTGCTGTTGCACATTGAAATCACATGTCTAAATCAGTTAATAAGGGAACACTGCTCAAAAGGGAGTGATCGCTCTGTCATTGCTGACTGCCCTAATACTCTTCCAACCCAAGTTCTCTTCAGAGTGCCTACAGCCAGGTGGTCTGTTACACTATGGACCAGGGCTCCTCGTGAAGGAGACAGCATGTGAGTGGGAGGATGTGGGACCAAAAGGTAGAACTTAAGTTCTTATCCTGGCTTAGCTGGGGAGCTCTGGATTGGTTACTTCACCTCTGATCCCAGTGTTCTTTTATAAAATTTAATAGTAAAATTTTCCACGTTCTCCATAAAGTCTTCTTGTGAGTGGAAATTAAAAGAGAATGACTTAAGTCTTTTGTACATCAAAAACTTTATAGCAGCATAATGGAATATCACTATAGCTGAATGATCTAGGTATACTGAAGGCTAAAAATTCCCCAAACACACCTATCAGAGGCCTGTGTTGTAGGAAGCAGGAAGCCTGAGGGACCACAAGAACCCCTTTGTTATGAGGATGGAGAAATTGTTTTATTTTTTTCCAGTTCATACTTTTTTTTAGTAAGTATAATAAAAAAATAAAACTGATCTTCAGTAAAAAAGAGGGAAAGAGAAATAGTGGAATAGAAAGAAAAAGGCAACTGTGAAAGATTTAGGAGTAAGAGGAAAAGAAGGTAGAGGCAAGGGGAAGGGTGTGTGCGCCAGCCCCTGGTCCTGCTGAGCTGTTTTGTGAGTCCCTTAACTGTATGGATCCTGGCCAAAGCGTTTTTGTGCTTACAGTGGGGCCCTACCAAGTAAGAGGGGGCTTGGCACAAAGGACCCATTTTTGATCACTTTGAATTCTTCTCATGTTTCAGGAAACTGAAAAAGACCAGGAAGCCGTAAACACTATGCTCAGGGCTCCAGAGAACCGCACTCTGATCAAACGAATGCTGATTAAATGTGCTGATGTGTCCAACCCCTGCCGGCCCCTGGAGCACTGCATTGAGTGGGCTGCACGCATCTCAGAAGAATATTTTTCTCAGGTAAGATGGTGCCTCGTAAGTACCTTGACACACACACAGATGGAAATCATCAGTGGTAAAGGACTTAAAACTAGAAAATAGAATTCTTAAAGAAATCCTGTCCCTGAAGAACATTTCTTGTATTGCATATTTACTGATAATGAATTTTGTTTTCATTTATCTGAGAACTTGTTTATTCTGTCTTCATTCTTACAGAAATTTTTACTGGGTATGGAATCCTAGGTTGACAGATTTCTCCTAAAAACACTTTAAGGGAGTCATCTGTCCTCCATATTCTCTTGGGTTAGGGAAAAAAAAATCAGAACATATATTATCTAAGAATTTTCCAGATTTGATAGAGGACATGCATACAGATTCTTAAAGCCTGTTGAGGATTAAATTGTGAGGCATGTCATAGGCAAGTCAAAGATAAAGGAAAAAAATCTTGAAATTGGCCAGAGAAAAATAATACTTGACTTATAAGAAGAAAAATGATCTCATGTTTTCTGACTTCCTGTCAGAAACCGTGAAGGCCAGAAGACACTGAAACATCTTTAAATTTCTATTAGAAGAAAATTGTCAACCCAGAACTTTATATCCAGTGAAATGTCCTTCAAGAATCAAAGAAAAATATTTCAAAAAATTCTCAGATAAGGAAAAACTAATACATTACCTGTAAATCTACAATACAAGAATTGCTAAAGGAAGTGCTTAAGGCTGAAAGGAAATGATGTGCCAACCTGGATCTTCAAGAAGGAATGAAAAGCACCTAAACAGGTAAATACCTGGGTGACTTTTTTGTTCTCTAAATTTCTCTGAATACATAGGACCATTTTAAGCAAAAGTTCTAACACTGTATCATAGAATGTATAATGTATAGCTGTAAGGTCTATATGACAACTGAAACTAAGAATGAAAGAAAGAAAATAGACTTAACAAAGGTCCAAGGCTTCTAGATTTTACACAAAGTGTTACAGTATTAGCTCAGTGGAGTCCAATGTGAAGGATACATATTGTAATCCCAAGAGCAATCACTGTAGTCTAAAAACTAATAGACATACTATAATGGAATTGAAAATATATTAAAATAGAATATTTCAAGGGAGAAACAGGAAAAAAAACAAGGGAACAAAGAAAACAGTAGCATGCTAGCTCTGACAAACAATATCAATACTATTAAATTCATTTCCATTAAAATGTTAGTGGACAAAACACTTCCCTTACAAGGACATTCTTCAGGATTGGTTTAAAAAAACAAAACAATACCCAACTATACAGAGTCTAGAGGACATATCTTAAATATAAAGAACAGATAGGTTTAGAATAAATAGATGGAAGAAGATATACCATGCAGATTATAAGTATAAGAAGACTGGACTGGCCATATTAATTTCAGACAAAATAGACATCAAAACAAAGGATATTTCCAGAGATAAAATGGGAGACTTTATAATGATAAAAGGTTCAGTTCTGTAAGAACACATAAAAATTATAAATGTATAGAAACCTAATATCAGTTTCAAAATAAATGAAGCAAAAATGACAGAATCAAAGAAATAGACAATTCTACAATCAGATTTTAAAACCCCCTTTCATCTATTGACAGAACCAGATTAAAATATCAGTGAAGACACAAGAGATCTAAATAAGGTCTGCCAACTGACTTAAGTTACTACTTAGAGAACACAGAGGCTGTCTGCAGGACACACAGCCTTTAACTAAAAGGGTGCACACACCAAGATGGAGCATGGGCTGGGCCTTCAGAAAGGATTAAAATCAGATGGAGGCCAGGCACGGTGGTGCACTCCTATAATCCCAGAGGCTCGGGAGGCTGAGGCAGGAGGATCATAAATTCAAAGCCAGCACACAAAAAAACAACATTATATCTCAGTAAGATTAGCTTTGTTCTGTTAAAGGTGCAATATATATATATATAATGAATGAATCTGCAAGCTTTTCATTTGCATTCAGAATATGCACATGAATGAAATAACTTTTATTTGTATAAACCTAGATACATGGAAAATGGATATAAGAACAAAATATATATGGGGAAGTTGGTAGATATATAGCTAAATGGGTGCAATTGTAATAAAACTTATTTTTTACTTAAAAAAAAAAATTCAAAGCCAGCCTCAGCAAAAGTGAGAGGCATTAAGCAACTCAGTGAGTTCCTGTCTCTAAATAAAATTCAAAATAGGGCTGGGGATGTGGCTCAGTTGTTGAGTGCCCCTGAGTTCATTCCTTGGTACCCACTTCCCGCAAAAAAAAAAAAAAAAAAAAAAAAAATCAGATGGAGGAGCAGAGACTGGAAGACAGGGTGGGAAATCAGGTCCCTCGCCTCTTCCCTTTGTTGCTAGGGATGGGTTCCAGGAGGGAGGCTTCCCCAGAAGATGAACCAAGACACATTCAAAGTGCACAGCCTTGACCTCTGAATTCCCATTATTAAACTTCTGGAAAACTGACATAGGCAATGAGCCTCCATCCCCCATTTCTCTAATTCATGCTCTCATTTCCATGTGGTCTTCGGTGATGAGCTTCACCACTGATCTAATCTCCCTCTGGTCCTCCTTCACTGTGTACCTAACTACAGCAGTCCTATGATCACCCCTTAGGACCACATGTACATGCATCAGCAGAGGAGCTGGGTCTTGTTTAGAAGGTCTTGCAGTCCTGGCCCTCACCTTTATGTGAAATAATTGGCTTTTGGATTTTCTGAAGAAGAACAGTAGAGCTAAGGATACAGCCAGCAATAGGGTGAGGTTGCTTTCAGGGCCTTAAGTGCCGAACATAGGTATCCTAAAAGCTAGGACTAAACATTCAAGAGTCTGGTTGGTTGGTTGGTTTTTGCTTTTCACTCAAGGTTTCAAAGCAGAGGCTGAAGCTGGCATGGGGGTGCCTGTCAGCAATCCAAGTGACTCGAGAGGCTAAGGCAGGAGGATCACAAGGTTGAGGCCGGTCTGAAATAATTTTCCTATGTACATATATGAACACACCATAGTAAATCCCAGCATTGTGTACATCCATAAGCATGGGGTCCTACTCAGAATAAGATATATTCCATGCTTCTATAATTATATCAAAATGAATTCTACTCTCATGTATAATAAAAAGAACCAATAAAAATTTTAAAAAGGTTTGAGGCTAGCCTGGGGGGGGGGATCAGATGGAATATGTTCTCTGACCACAGTGCAATTAAATCAGAAATAATTAAAAGTAAGATATCTAGGAAAATACCAAACATTTAGAAGTCAAACACTTCTGAATAACTCATGGGTCAAGTATAAGGCAAATGAGAAAATAATTAGAATTAAATGATAATAAAAGTAAAATTTTGGGATGCAGCTTAAACAGTGCTTAGAGGAAAATTTATAATTTTACTTTACTATTGGGGAAAAAGAAATACCTCAAGCTACTAGAAAACAGTAAAAATTTAAAGCCAAAAGTTGGTTCTTTAATAAGATTAATTAATGAAATTGGTAAGTACACCCAGACTAATCAAGAGGAAGAGAGATCACAAATAACCAATATCAGAAATTAAAGGGGGATAGTCACAATAAATCTCAGACTTTAGAAGGATAATAAATAATTGTGAACTTTATACTAACATTTGACAACTTAAAGGACAGATTCCTTGAAACCTACCAAAACTAACCCATGTAAATCCTTTTTAAAGAAACCCTATTAAAAAACTCTCCCACAAAGAAAACTGAGGAATCTTTATATCAACCTTTTAAGTAAGAAATAATGTCCCTCTTACAGATTGTAACAAGAAATAGAGAATCTCATTTTATGAGGCCTGTTACCTAAAACTGACAGAGAAAATACCAGGAGAAAAAAAATCACAGTTTATTATTCTCATGAGCATGGATACAGACATTTAATCAAATTAATATGTAGAGGGGATAATATGTCATCACCAAATCAGGTTGTTCCCAGTAATGCAATGTTAATTTACTACTAGAAAAACAAATTATTTTAAATTATCTTACTAAGTAAATGAAGGAGAAAAAACACGAGATTATAGGTACAGAAAAACAATGTCAATTCAACATTCACTCATCATAGAAACTATTAGCAAACTTGAACTAGATGGAAATTACTTTTTTAAAAAAAATCACAAAAACTTAGCTAACATTATATATTTAATGGTGCAGTATTGAATCCCCAAGATTGGATATAAGGCAAGGGTGCCTATTCTTGCCATGACAATAAACAAGGGGAAAAAAACAGTCATAAAGAACAGAAAATAGTATAAATGTTTGTTCTATTTGCAGGTGACACTTTTTTATGTAAAAATTCCAAAGGAAGGTACAAAAATTACTAGCATTAATAGGTAAATTTGATTTAACAATATCAATATACCTCAGTCAATTGTGTTTTATGTACTAGCAGCAATCAGAAAATGAAACTATTGTATTTTATGTACTAGCAGCAATCAGAAAATGAAACTAAAAATACAGTCCTGTTTATAATAGCAAAAAGCAAAAAATTACTTACAGATGACTAGACCTTAACAATGAAAACCACAAAACATTGCTGAGAAATTAACGAACACCTGAATAAATGGGGAGGTATATACTATGTTCATATATCAGAAGGTACAAATGCTAAGATTTGATTTCTCCCAGATTGATGTCTCAATTTGATACAATCCCAGTTGGAGAATTTGAAAACATGGAATCTGAATTGTATATGGAAATGTGAAGGATCTTGAATAAGTAAAGCAAACTTAAAAAACAAAAAGTTGGAAGACTTAATATCTGGCTTCAATACAGTAACCAACACAGTGTGGTACTAGTGTAAAGATAGCAGATACATCTAAGGAAAGAAATAGAAACAGATCACATTTATACAAACGGTAGGGAAAGCAAATTTTTTTCAGTAAGTGTTGTTAGAGTGAGAGGATATCTCTGTGCCAAGAAAACAAAAGAACCACAACTCCTCCTGTCTCATGCCATAATTATCAGTTCACAGTGAATCATAGATTTGTATACAAAAGCTAAAACCATGAAACTTTTAGAAACCACAGCAGAATGTCCTCAGTGACTTGGAAATGGACAAAGATGTCTTAGGTACAGAAAGCAATAACCATAAAAAGAAAATTGGACTTTGCTAAAAATTATACTTATCCAGTGATGGGGATGTAGTTCAGTTGGCAGAGCACTTGCCTAGCATGCACAGGGTCCTGGGTTCAAGCCTCAACCCCTAACCACTACCACCAAAAAAAAAAAACCTGTTCATCCAAACACAGCCAAGAAAATGAGTAGGCAAGTCACACTGGAAGAAAGTATTCACACTTCATTTCTGACAAAGAACTCTGTCCAGGGTATTTAAAGAACTACAACATAATAGTAAAAGATAAACACCAATAAAAAATGGGCAATTATTTTACTAGACATTTCACAAAAGAAAATACTATGAATGGGGCTGGGATTGTGGCTCAGCGGTAGAGCGCTCACCTAGCACTGGTGGGACCCAGGTTCGATCCTTAGCACCACATTAAAATAAAGGCATTGTGTTGTGTCCATCTGCACCTAAAAAGTAAATATTTTAAAAATACTATGAATGGCCAATAAGCACATAAAAAAGTACTACACATCATTATTCATCAGGAAAATTGAAATTAATATTACCACATATCCAGCAGAATGGCTAACAATTTAAAAATTGACCAGATGTTGGTGAAAATGTGAGGTAACTAGACTGCTATCAGTGACAGGTATATAAAATTCTGCAAGCACTTTGGGACACAAATTTCTTTCCTTTTTTGTGGTAAAATTTATATACATAAAATTTACTGTTTAGATCATGTAGGTTTTTTCTTTATTCTTTTATTGAAGTGTATATGCATTGATTTTCATGTGTTGAACCATCCTTACATTCCAGGAAAAAATTCTGCGGTCATGGTCCTTTTAATATACAAAATTCATCCTAGTATTTTGTTGAGGATTTTTATATCAACATTCATAAAGTATTCTGGCCTATAGTTTTTCTGGTAGCGTCTTTGTCTGGCTTTGTTGATACAGTGCTGCTCAATTTCAGAATGAGTTAGAAAGTGTTTCTTCCTGTCCAACTTCTTGGAAGAGCTTGAGAAGGACTCTTAATTCTTTAAATATTTGTTTTGTTTTTGGTGGTGCTGGGGATTGAACTCAGGGCCTTATGCCTGCTAGGCAGATGCTCCACCACTGAGCTACATCCCCAGCCCCTTAATTCTTTAAAAATGTTTCATAGAATTCACCAGTGAAGCCATCTGACCCAGAATTTCTTTTGTATGAAGGATTTTTAGCTATTGATCCAATCTCCTTACTAGTTAGAGGTCTATTCAGAACCTTTTTAAGTAAGATAATTCAGTGGTAGATAAGAAGCAGCCACTAGGTGCTTCTCTGTGAAAGGGGCTGTTTCTTACTCTGGAGCCCAATTATGGGGGGCTTCCCCACAATGGAAGGATGGCAATAGACAGCTGGCTGACTGTAGATACCATTTGAAACTCTTACCTAAAAGACTTCTAGATTTTGGATTGAGTTGGGGGATCCTCACGCCCCTCGGCATGGAATCCTTCCCACTCAGAACAACGGGGCATCTAGTTAGCTTGATTAGCGCTGTGCAGCTTCTCACCACAAGCTACTGGGGGATGTCAGGGGAGGGCTGCTCAGAAGTGGGATGGAGCCAGACATGGACCTGGAGACCTGGACATTTTCTGCTTTGCAGACTGATGAAGAGAAGCAGCAGAACTTGCCTGTGGTAATGCCGGTTTTTGACAGAAACACCTGCAGCATCCCCAAATCCCAGATCTCTTTTATAGATTACTTCATCACAGACATGTTTGATGCTTGGGACGGTAAGAAATCTTATAGCATATCTTCCTTTAAAAAAACAAGGAACTGCATATTAAATAGCAAATAGTGCATCTGAACCCAGAACACACTTTGGGGCTTAGACTTTTAAGAGGGGATGAGAAGAAATGAACCATCATTGAGGGATGGGTGTTCTTTGTGCATTTTCTCACTAATATCCCAACCTGCAGGAGGGGGTAAAAAGCCTATTAAATAAAAGATCATCAGAGAAAAAGATCCCACTGATATTCCCTGGGCTCCTTGTGCCCTGAGAACTACACAACAGATAAATGCCAGATCAGGGAAGCTGACCAGAGTGCTAGGGCTGGTTCAGGAGTTGACTTCATTCCAGCTTCTGGGTGTGTTTTCCCACATCTCCTTGGCATTATGTACTCATCTGTCTCTGTTCCTTAAAATGCTCTCACTAAAACTGGGGGCTGAGGTGTGGCTCAGTGGTGAGCTCTTGCCTAGAATTGTGCAGGGTTCTGGGTTCCATCCCCAGTCTAGGAAAAAAAAAAAAAAAAAGCCTAAATCTGTTAAACAAAGTCACAAAAGGACATTGCATTCCTGTCTTTCTCTCCAGCCTTTGTGGACCTTCCTGACTTAATGCAGCATCTTGACAACAACTTTAAATACTGGAAAGGATTGGATGAAATGAAGCTTCGGAGCCTCCGACCTCCTCCTGAGTAGAACAGGAGGCCTCATGGGCCCTGAAATCTTGTGCCTCCAGTCATTTGCAATTCCTGAGGGCAGCCAGAGTTCCTTAGGCCTTCAGTATTAAGCAGAACCATTCCCTCATCTGCAAAGCCTGTAAAACACATGGTGACATCAGTAACCACCTGCAGCCACCATCCGATGCCATAATGTGAGCCTTGGCCACTAGCAAGGGCTGCAGGGGCTCTTCAGAAAAGCACTTGAGAACCAGTTTGCATCAGCCTCCTGTTCACATGAAGCCTCGGTCATACCTACAGAGGGGTACTGATGGATTTCCTGCCAGTGACAGACTGTCTGGCTGCAAACAGTTGCTCTCAAATATGTTCAGCACTTCAGAATAGCTAGTGGCAATCGGATCTTTAGCAACTTTTTTCACATCATAGAAGGTGCAATCACTTACTTTGGAACACTACTGAAAGTGACTTCTCTTTTAAAATTGAGTAGCAAATAAACAAAAGAGAAATTTTGTAGTTGATTATTAATCAATTATTAAAAATGTTTATTTATTTTATTGGAAGTTCATATTTTCTATGAGTTTAAAAACACTTCAAAGCCAAAGCCAACATCACACGCCATGACCAAATTTACACGATTGGTATCATTATGCATTACTTGGTGTACAAACATTTTCATAATGCAAATTAAAAATGATACGTTTTTACTTCACTATAGAAATATTTGTGTATGTTAAACTCCTTTCTGATTGATACTATTAGRAAAAAAAATGGTTTGGTTTGGACTTATAGTAGAGAACTAAAGGAGAAGGCGCCTTTCATCATATAGAATCTAGGCTCTAAACAGGCTGATTGATGTGCTTTGCAAGTGACATCCCAAAGAAAAATTACACCCTTCTTGATTTGTAAAGAAATATTAGGACTTACAACTTTTTCTTAAAATTCCATAATTGAATTTCCAAAAGTCTGCTTCATTTTGTACTGTTTCTAAAAAATATTCCCTATAAAAACAAAATGCAAACAAACATGGGATATTTAATGAATTGACATTTTATAACCAACCAGTTTTCATCTGCAGTGGGGAATCTTTGATTCCAGAAATTTATAAGGGTTCTGTATCTTCACATTTTGAATAAACATAATGCCATAAAAAATGACACTTGATGACAGGTCAAAGCATTAGTTGTTTCATTTTAAGCTGGTATGTTTTTTCCAGATAAAAATGAAATTAAACTTTTTGTTTTTAAGAAATTATTTGTTGCCCTTTCTTTGGGTTAATCTTTTTCTCACCAAATACATCTTTATTTTACAGATCAGATTAGTAAGATTTTCCAAGGTGACATGAGTCCAGATGATTATTTTGAAAATAATTGGAATTAACTTTAATTCAACAGCCTAGGGCACATGAGAGGGATGACAGAGAGACTTTGCTCAAAGATGGGTCTTTGGGTACCTGGTACCCATTAAGAGATGTCAGAACAGTGGAGGGCCAACAGGGCCAGCCTGAAGGGGTCTCTTTGTCTAGGGAAACAAAGGATCCTTTTTTCCTTTATGAAGGCAGTCTGATCTTTGTGTACTGAGCTAGGTAGAAAGCTCTCTCCTCCTCCTCCAGGTGCCAAGAACAAAAAGAAAATGAACCACATGAGCAACTCAGCCATCATGAGGTTGGAGACAGCAGTGCATATAATATATGGAATTTTCACCACAAAGAACCAATAGTAATTGAATAATCTGAAAGAGACACCAAGCTGCATATGCTTAACTTGTCTGAAGAGATAAAAGAAGTAATTAACTACAATAAACCAAGAGAATTTTTTAACAGAATAGATAAATTTGGAAAAGAACCATATAGACTATCAAGCTACGGATAATATAGTCAAACAGTATATAGGTTTAATGGGAAACCAGATATGACTAAAAAGAGAATTTGTAAATTGGAAGACAAGTCAAGGACTCGCTTAGAGTGTAGTATAGAGAAATAAAAATGGAAGATACCAAAAGAAAACTTAAAATATGAGGGTAGAATGAAATACTTCAAAATATGYTTAACAGATCCAGAAAGGAGAATAAATGGGGAGAGGCACTACTCAGAGGAAGACTGAGAGTTCCTCGTGATGAATTCCAAGTAGGATATGTGTTAGCTTTCCATTACTGTGACAAATACCTGATCAACTTTGCTTATACTTTTGGAGGTTTCAGACCATGACCTATTGGCCCTGTTGCTTTGGACCTTTGGCAGCCAATCATACTAGAGCAAGGCTGCTCATCTCATGGTAGGCAATTGAGGGAGAGGAAGAGGAGGGACTGGGATCCCACTGTCCCCTTCAAGGGCAGTTCTCAATGACCAGAGGATTTCTGACTACACCCATCTGTTCCCAATAGCACCAAACTGGGGACTAAGTTTTTACAACATGGACCTTTGGAGTCCTTTATATGTTTCAATACATAAAACAAATCCACATAACACAGTTAAACCAGGTAACATTGAGCACAAAAAGTAGAACTTAAAAACTAAGACAGATCTCTGACAATGGAAGTAGACTGCCATCAGACATTTCATCTGTAACAAACAAAAGACAAAAGAATAACATTTTGAAATTACTGAAGGAAATTATCAACCTAAAATTACTTACCTAACTAAACTGTAATTCAAGATGAAGGTAAAATAATTTCAAACATAGACAGTTCATCACAGACTGCTGTGTAGAGAACTGCTAAGAGATGCACTTCTATAAGATGAATCCCATAAAAAGAGCTAGGTTGCAGAAGTGAGCATGCAGAGACTGGTAAACAGTTGGACAACACAGTATTTTGGAGAAAAAACTACCAGGGACAAGCAGGAACAAAGGAAAGCACGTATACAAAACAGGTAAGCTAAATGTTTAGGAGGGCAAGAGAGATTTGTTTTAAGTTTAGGGACATTATCAAAATAATAAGGTATGGAGATCATTGAAAAGAAACCAAAGAAAAACAATGTTATTAATGCACCCAATTAAAGACAGATATAAAGAAAAGGCATGAATTGCAAAAGATAATGGCAGAAGTACAAATAAAAGATGAGAAACGATTTCTCTGTTAAAAAAAAATCCTTTTGACATTGAAATGTGGAGAACACTCTTAAAATGACAAAGATTTAGCACAAAAGAAGTACAAAAATTCAGTCAGATATGGTGATGCATGCCTGTAATCCCAGTGGCTCTCAAGGCTGAGGCAGGAGGATCACAAGTTCAAAGCCATCTTCAGCAAAAGTGAGGTGCTAAGCAGCTCAGTGAGACACTGTCTCTAAATAAAATGCAAAATAGTGCTGGGGATGTGGCTCAATGGTTTGAGTGTCCCTGAGTTAAATCCCTGGAACCATCCCGCAAAAAAAGTATAAAAATTCTATATGACAAAAAGATATAAACCAAGCTTTAAAAAAATGCCACAGATTTGGAGATGACCTCTACAACTAGCAAAATATTCATAGCCAGAGTTTATATTAAAATGCCTATAAGTCAATATGGGCAAAACCCAAACTATTTTACACCCTTCAGATTAACAACAGTTTTAAAGTCTGATCATACCAAGTATTGATGGGAGTATGGGAAAATGAGAACTTTCAAATATTAATGGTAGGAACAAATGATTGGTTCAACCACTTTGGAAAGCAATTTGGAAAAAGCTAAATGTTCCCAATCAGCAACTTCATTTTTTAATCCAAGAGGACCTTACAAAAATGCATTAGAAAACACATTGAAGGGGCTGGCGTTGTGGCTCAGTGGTAAAGCGCTTGCCTAGCTTGTGTGAGGCACTGGGTTCGATTCTCAGCACCACAAATAAATTAATTAATTAAATAAAGGTTCATTGACAACCCTAAAATATTAAAAAAGAAGAAGAAAAAAGAAAAACACTTGAAGAATTTTTACTCTAGAATTCTGTCATGGTGAAAAAATAGAGACAGTATAAATATCTTCAGTAGAAGAATGGATAAAGAAATTGTGATAGGGTATTCAGAGAGGGGCATGGGGTGGTAGACAGTTCCTAAGATGGCTCCCAATGATCCCTGCCTCTTGGTATTTACCAACTTCCTTCTAGTCAAAGATATGGCAAACGTGATAGAATGCTACTTCCACTTTTGGCTACAAAAGGAAATCTTAGTTTCCAAGGGATACTTTAACAAATTATCACCAACTGGGTGTCTTAAAACAATGTAAATTTATTCTCTCCTTCTTCCTGCAGCCAGAAGTCTGAAAAGAAGGTAGACTCATTTTTAGCTTTTGGTAACTGTCAGCAATCCTTGATGTTCCTTGTCAGGTAGATGCAACATTCTAATCTCTGCCTCCATGTTCACACTGCCTTCCTTTTTTTTTTTTTTTTTTTTTTTTTTTTTTTGATGGTGCTGGGGATACAACAGGGCCTGGTGCATGCCAGGCAAGCACTCTCCTGCTGAGCCACACCCAGGCCCATAAAATTAATAAGGTCTCTGACCAAGACCAAAAGCATACACTCCAACTCCACAATGGCAGTGACGTTGGCTGTTGGAGAGGGTACGGTACTGAGGAGACCTTCAGAAAGAACTACCTCTACATTTTTTTTCAATGGAAAAAAAACAAAAAACAAAAAAACCTAAACTAAAACCAAACTAAAGCATATATATAAGCAAAATGATTTTAAGTCTGGCAGTGAGTACATTGGTTTTTGAGAGTATTTATTGCTATACTTTACTACATCCTGAAATCTTCCATAAGTTTTTAAAAATATATGGAGACCATGTCTGGTAATAAGCATCTATAAGAATATTTTGTCTTTCAATATAGAAAGTCTGAGGGCTGGGGTTGTGGCTCAGTGGTAGAGCCCTTGCCTAGCACCACATTAAAAAAAAGTTATTAATAAAAAGGAAAAGTCTTTCTGATTAGTATACAAAAATGGAAGCCATATTTTGAAACCCTGAAAATTAAAATATTTTATATATCAATAGGAAAACATCTAATTCATTTTACAAAAAGCTTATTTTTACAATATTGATTTTTAGAAACTTTCTTCTCTTACTTCTGGGGATTGAGGGGATTGAACCCAGGATACTCTACCAGTGAGCTACATCTCCAGCCCTTTAAAGCATTTTAAAATTTTGAGACAGGGCCTCACTATTTTGCCTCAAACTGTCAGTCCTCTTGCCTCAGCATCCCAAATTGCTAAGATTGCAGACATGTGCCACCACCCATGGATATTCAGTAGGGGAAAAAAATGGAAAATAACAAAAAGTTCATAGAAAATATATAAAAGGTTCTTAAAACTAAAGTTCATGCTGAAATTAATCTACAGCAAATTAGAAGCAATTTTACATTTTTTCAGCTTTCAGATTGAAAAGATAGCATGTTAATATGTATGGAAACAGGCGCTCTCATACTGGCAGGTAAGTGTAAGTTAGTTCAACCTCCATGGAGGACAGATCTGCCAAACCTTTCTAAATTACAAATGTACATGCACAGTGATGCAGCAATTCTACTTCTAAAATTTTGGCCTAAAGATATTCACAGGGCTGGGGTTGTGGCTTAGTGGTTGAGTACTTGCCTAGCATGTGGTGAGACACTGGGTTTGATTCTCAGCACCACATATAAATAAATGAATGAATGAATGAATGAATGAATATACACCAAAAACTAAAAAAAAAATTTAAGAAGATATTTTCACACATGTGGGAAATGATGTCTACCAAATTGTTTACTGTTATTATTTGTAAAAGTAAAAGATTGAAAAAAGGATTAAATGTATATTATTCACAAAAAGCAAGAAAATTAGTTATGGTATGTCTATACAATGGAATACCATGCAACTATAAAAAATGAGACACTTGTTTTACATTGCCCACATGTAAGGAGCTCAGAGGTTCTAACAAGTGGAAAACTGAGTAGACTAGCATAAAAACTTCTTGAATGTATAAAAGAAGTAAGGACAGAGCAAATGGCTATCTCAAAAACAGGAAAGACCAATAGGCAATACAAGAAATCATGGTTTTCTGGAACAGAGACATAACAGCCATAAGAACCAGAGCTGGGGCAGGAAAACCTGAACTGGAATCAAAGAATTGTTAGAGGCAGCAGACGCTGAGATCTCTTCTCTGGGCATGGCCTCTGTTACCTCTGGGAATCCTGCTGCTTCCACGGTGGTCACTGCTGCTGAACCAGAAGTCTCCTGTCAGTCAACCGCTGTCTGCACCACTATCACCATTGCTGCCTCTGATTCTGCTGCTGCCAGCCTGAGGTTGCCTGGAGG